TTCTTCCTGTTTGTTAGATGACAGTTTTTAAGACTTTTTCTCCGTACGTTCGTACGTATATCTAGATTTTAGACCGCATTTTATCGCATTTTTCCCATTAGTAATTTCAGTAAATCATAAAATATTTTCCAATAAACCATTTTATGTTAACGCTTCATTTGCCAGCAAGAAAATAATAGCATCCATTCACCCGTAGATGCAAAGCCCTTTCTACTCAGCAACAATGATATTTATTACGGCAAAGAGCGAAATTTATATAAATTATTTCGCGTACCCACACGACGCTCATTATTCATCACAGTACGACTTGAATAGAACTTTCGTAATTAGGTAGGTACCTACCTACTTTTAGCGACTTTGCAAGAGAATATGTGAGCAAGGGGACGTCATGCTGTGACATTATAATTTTATTTTGTTGCCAAATGTAGGCAAGCTTTAATTCGACAATTAATTTCTATAAGACAAGCTCTTGTAGTGCCATATACTATGTATAATTTCAATTATGTATAACAAAACACTGAAAAATTAATATGGTTGTATAAATACCGCACCTTTGCCACCGAAAATTTTATATAGGATTTAAGAAAATTAAGAAACATTTTTACCGCCAATTCTATTTAATTTTTAAATTTGCATGTTAGCACTCTATTCTACAAAATAATACAGACCGCATTACTTCGAATATTACTTTTCTATGAAATCTAGGTTATTGAATTTAAATTTTACTTTACAAGCTGTTAAAAAGTTTTTATAATACCTGTCAATATCGAGATTTTGGACAGTATATAATATGTAGATATTATAAATACATATACACCAAGATGAATATTCATTTATTTTATTGTGGTGATTGTTGGTGGTTACACAGATTCATTTGCATTTTTATCAATATAAGAGCGATGCCGACTCTGAAATATAAACCGATTCGGAAAATTATTTTTTATCTGAAAGAATATACTTACAGATTGGTTCCATAGATATATTATCAAAATCGGTTCAGTAGTTTAATTTTTAAATAACTGTTTTGCCATATTTTTTTGTGGAACTCAATTTAATTATTATACTTACGTCACAGTCGTCCATAATAGACAACTACAATAGTTACAAGGTAGTATACGTTACTTATCAATTCAACTTAACAAAAGAAGTATAAAATCTCAGAATAGAGAAAAAGTAGTTTTTTTTCCAAGTAATTGTCGTGTAATGAGTTTTTTTTTTTATTGGTAGAAAATGGAATAGTAACCCCACCTGCGCTAACGGGATACGCTGGCGGGGCACCAGTGAAGGGTGATCGATGAAGATGAAAACAGGCCAGTTAGCCCATCATGATGAATTCATCAGGAATTAATCATGATAGTTTCCAGGGGGAAACGCGAGGAGGTCGACCTGGTTGGGTATATTGCTAGCAATGGGATTCTCAATCTCCATTACTAACAATCACTTCCCCCCCCCCCCCCCGTGTAATGAGTATAGTAAATACTTATAAAGTACGGTAGAAAACATTTTTATTATGCAACTTAGAATGCCAAACAAGCTGACGGCCCAGCTGATGGGAAGTGGTAACTGTCGCCTATAAACATGAGCAGTGCCATGGATATAACAGAGTATACTGTTTCGCCTATAATATGACCATGCGTTGCCATTTCTGAGGACTCAGGTATTATTCCTCTGTACCCTGTAAATTAATATCCTACCCTTCAAACCGAAACACAGCCATGCAAACACAACTACTTCACGGTAGAAACAGGAATAGGACAAAGGTGCCCAAGCAAACGACTTTTGTCAGTCTCCCTCTGGTATCATCTCCCTCATCTACGTAGGTACCTACATACCACACTCTGCTGAATACGTTTCACAGAAAAAACGTATTCATTTGTTCGACAACAAATTGAATATTAATACGATATTGCGTACCAAAAATGAACAGCCGCTTTTTAAATATTTCAACTGACCGAAAACCTGTTTGCGAATATTCAATTGTAACTCTGTAAACGTTTAATTAATCGGGTAAATCTTAAACATTTTAATGGTGGCTCTTCACAGGCGCCACCTTTCGGTTAATTTCGTGGGAATCACTTTTACAAGAGGCTAGCTGAGGCAATAACGACTTGCAATAACAATTATACGGCGTTGGAAGTGGTAACATTCACCTTTCAAAGACTACCCAGTGAATTTTCATTGCAATTTCCATAACAAGCGTGTGTTGAGAATTTTAAGCTCGCTCAAATGAATTTTTCTTTCTGTGTTATTACTTAACTGGCTGTAACTCGCGACTTTGCTTTGTGCCCTAAGGACCTTTAAATAAATTTTACAAGCTTTGATTGATAACCAAAGCTTGTAAAAAGGTTTGGATATTTAGATAAAAATTTATATATAATAATGCACCGCCTACTTATTTCTCGAATTGCCCAATGGTCGACTGGTAGAGAATACCGTCCGGTGTTAAATCCGCCATATGTACTACATAGAATTTTAATATGCATTAAAAAAAAATTAAATAAAATTTAGATGCTTGTTACTCAATCACAAACAGCTAAACGGATTTAATGAAATTAAAGTACATTATATCCTATTATACACAAGTAAATTATATCCTAACTTAACACATAATGATATTTTATACCTTTACTAACTCACGGAGAAAGCCGCAGAATACAACTGATAAAATGCATTCTTTACTTATTTAAAGACAGCCAACAAAACATACATTTATACCAACTTAAAATACATGATAATATGGTCACATTACAAAATGCCGCCTTAATTAAATGTTAATAAAGGAAAATATAATAACTTTAAAATATTTTCAAAGTATTGTAACTATATTAAAAAAAAACATGATATGCAGAAAATAACCTTACGTCGGTGCCTCTTTATATTATTTCACTAACTGTCCTACTTTAAGAGCCAACAAAAAAATTCGACAGTCTGGAGAATTGCCAGATACCATTTCCTGCCAGCAGCGGGTAATTCTTACTGAAAAAACCACAAGGCAGAAGAGGTATAACTTCATAAATAAATCGACAGAGGGCGTTTCTTTAAGTTACCCTTGACGTCTGTACAGATTTTTAAACGCATTATTTTTAAGGTTTCGATATTTGCATACGAAAATTGAGTTTTATTATTGTGTTAACACTTAAGGAAGACTTGTGCCGATATTTCAATTGTAACTGGCTTCAAATGGGAGATACTTTATTCGAGTCTTTTTATGCGAATGTTACGCGATATGTTCATTAATTAAAAACAGATTATGTAGATCCATTTTTTAATAAAAAAAAAATTACTTTCCATATTGATTCTATAGTACTTTTTTTTTGTTTTATACTTTTTATCCAGATCCCGCATACGAAGTCACGGGTTAAAGCTAATATAATGAGAATTTAAACATTTATGTTGTTGTAATACATATACGTCGGTTCCCTCCTCAGGTGATAGATGACTGCAAAAGGAATGAGATTCTCAATTCAGTTGTATTTTTGTATGTTTGTTATCTCATAACTCCGTCAGTTGTAAACCGATTTGAAAAATACTGTTTATCTGAAGGGATATAAATTTGTCCCATAGAAATTTTATCAAAATCAGTTCAGAAGTTTCATTTTTAGACCAAAATAACTGGTTTTGCCACAATTCAAGTCGGTTTTTTTTGTGTAACACGTTTAATTATTAGTAATTATCAGTTGTAAACCGATTTATTAAATTCTTTTTTATCTTAACCCTTCTTTTCATTTTTTTTTATTGGTAAAATAAATCAAGGTGATATAATTCATGTTCAAAACTAAAGGAAAAATGGTTAAAAAAATAAATTTGACAGCTATGTTTTGTTTTTTGCAATGGACATTAAAAAGGTATCCAGACACGATCAACTTAAAGTGAACTTGGTCTATTGTGTAATTTTTGGGCATTCAATGTTATGATGAAAATTTCCACCAGTATGCAAAGAAGGGTTAAAGGGATTTTTACAGATAGCTCTCATAAAAATCTTATCAAAATCGGTTAAGTAGTCAAATGTTTAAACCAAAATAACTGTTTATTTTTCGTGGAACACAGACAAACATACATACATACATACATACATACATACATATCTGTCACGCCTGTCTCCCATACATACAGTCTTTAATTATTATCACAATATTTAAATAACATTCAACAAATGGTAACCAAATTCGGAAAATAATTTAAACTCTAATTTCCCATGATATAAACCCAAAAACGCAATTGAAGCGAAAAATTCCTTATTGAATATTCAAACAAGTGTTTGTCTTGTTCCGTCTGAGATGACGCGCCGTATTTTCCTTGACTAAATATCGTCAAACCTTGTGAATTTTACGTTTTATTTACAGAAATAACATATGAATGTTATAATTGTTATAATATGTCGAGTAAATATGAGTAGCTATTTAAAATTGTTATCTATATCAGCGGTATATTAGCCGTCAAATATTCATTTCTGAACATAAACCTCCCCCTATAGAGAGCGGTTTGGTCATTAGTTGCCACGCTTAGCAGGCAGGTTGGTAACCACAATTAGGCTTTAGAGATGTTTAAAGAGCAACGCTGCTGCCCATTCCTCGACCTTAGGTTGCCTTAGTCGCCTCTTACGACACCCACAGAAAAGGATGAGGGGGGCCCATTCTGTGCGTGAGCTATATATATGTTTAAATTTAATTTTAAACTACTGTAATAACTAGTAACTTTTTAACTATCTTTCACAAAGTGTATTTAATCGCCAACAAGTGCAATTTAGCGGATAATGTAATATACTAAAATATGAATTTTGTGGATAAATAAATTAAAAAAAAAAAGAAAAACATGTTGACAGTCCACCTGATGGAAAATGGCTATCGCCTGTAGATATGAACAGTACCATAAACATTACAGTATACTGTGACGCCCATGATACCTCATATTGTTATTAATTATAGGTATATACAGTTACACCCATCAAAGAAAATGTTACAGATCAGTTTGTGAATTAAACGAGAGTTTGTTGTTTTCAGGTGCAAAGCCCGGTCTTAGTCGTGGAGCTGACACTGAATAGATTAGAAGGGACCCAACTGAGGGCTTTAGGACTCCTGTCCGTGTTTGGGTTCAACGTGACATACGCCGTTCGGGCGCCAAGCGAGGGTCCCGGGCCGGCATCGTGTAGCGCTATCGAGTGCCGCTTACTTGGGCATTGCTACGCACAGCATAACTATCAGTAAGTAATTACACATAAAATAGAATAGAATAAATATTTATTGTGAGCTGTATATTATAGTTATTCGTAAGATGTTATTAACGTGTTAAAGGAAAACACAGCCTACCCATATATCGGGCATAGAATACAATTAGCTACATAACATTAATTATTTTACAGTCATACAATTAAATTGTCAATAAATTTGAAAATAGAATAAAGCAAGTCAATCAACAGTAATAAATTTATATGGTCAAAATTAGAATATATTAATGATCACCTTATATATTAAATTAATTATAATGTCAATATAAAAAAAAAAAAACAAAAATAAAAGAATTCATTCAAATTGTAAAAAGCATTTACAAGTAGTAATTTTTTTTAATAATAGTTGGAATTTAGTATTAGACACTTCTTTTAGGTTATTTGGCAAATGATTATATATTTTGATAGCCATTATGTAAGTACTTTTCTTGTATATCATATATATATATATATATATATATATATATATATATATATATATATATATATATATATATATATATATATACCGTAAGAGGTGACTAAGGGAACTTAAAGGTCGAAGGTTGGGTAGCAGCATCCCTCTTGAAACATCACCAAAATCCTAACTGTGATAACCAACCTGCCTCCTAATTGTGGCAACTACTGATAAAAACGCTTTATGGAAAAGGCTTATGTTCAGCATTCAACAGACTCAACTGACAATATTAACACATAAAAATGATCTTTAATGCTAAACACAAATAGAGAAAGTTACAATAAAAATGGTACGGCCACAGATTAACCTAGTATATGCAGTGCTAAATCAACAATTATTAAACTTCTTAATAAACAAACAATTTTCTTACTGCACTGCACGCATAAACACAGATACGACTCCATACTATACATAGAATGTATCTACACGACTGTGATTTATTTAAATGTGTCACAATGCAATTTTCTTTGAATTATATATTACAAAAGTCGTTTGCTTGGACACCTCTGTCCCATTCGTGTTTCTACCGTAAAGCAGTTGTGTTTGCATGACTGTTTCGGTTTGAAGGAAAGTCTATGGCAGTGAATTTGCAGGATACAGAGGAATAACTGAGTACTCAGGAATGTTAACGCATGGGAGAATCATGGGCGAAACAGTATACTCTGTTATGTCCATGGTACTGCTCATGTCTATAGGCGACGGTCACTTTGCATCAAATGGGCCGTCAAATTGTTTATCATTCTAAGTTCCATAAAAAAATTATTAGATATTTTTCTTAATGTCAATTTTAGGTGCGACCTTAATCTATGATGTCAATAGATAATTGAATATAAAGACTATAATTTGCAACTGTATCAAATATTCGCAGATGAATGGAACCCTTTCATTTAGGCAAAGATAAATTGCAACCTTTAGGTAATTAAGGCAAGATTAACAAAGATGAGTGGGTGCGAGACCGCGGGGCTACACGTTACACCAGAGATTTAGATATCCATATCTAGATATACTATACATACCTACACCTAAAAAACATTAAAATCTTTGTCAGTCAGATAAAATTAGATGTGGTCGCAAGTATTGTTCAGTATGGAGTATTCCGAGACAACTATCGCCCTTGTGTATTTAAATCAATGTTTAAATAGTTTTCAGTTTTAATTCTTACCATAATATTGCTATTTTTGTTGCTCTATGATAGCATGTTAGTACCAGAAAAGTCATATTAATATTAAAAAAAAAATTTAAAGATGTGTCTGTGTTAGTTACTCAATCACACCTATACGGCTGAAGTAAATTTAACGAAATTTGGCAGTTCATGTCCTAGCTTAAAATCCTTCGCAATGACAATACCGATGTGTTAAATCGCTGAAATATACTTCTATTATTATTTTAGATAATACTTTATATGACAGCAGATTACACTAATAAATAAATAGCATGTCTACTAAACAGCAGTGTAAATTAGGTATAGGAAGAATTTCTATTCCCTAAATTTTCGTTATAATTTTCGTACTAAATGCTACTTCAGCTTCTAATTTTAAACGAACTTAAACAAGAAATTATACAGATAATTGTTTTAGTATCTGCTCAAGTACTAAACTAATTTACTTGGGCAGAATAACAGATTGAAACGCAGACTTTCCATAAATTTTAAACTAAATATGAAAACGTCGGAAAGAACTTTAATATTCCCACTGAACAAGTACTAATTAACATAATCTGAATTTTCCGTAACTGTTCTGACCATAATTGATCATTTTCTAAAGAGCTGCAAATTTAAATTCCCTTTAGGCGGAATCAAAATTTAATTCGGCGGTAATCCCGTTTAAAATTGTGGATATTATACATAATAGGTAAATCAGAAGCAAATTTGTCCATTGAAAATGCATTTACGTTGAAAATTTTCGAATATTCTGTGTTTTAATGGAAAGGATTTATCGACGAAAAATCTCTGTCGCAACGAACCCATTAACGGAGTCAATAGAGCGGGAAAATTTAGTGCAAAGCTGAACAAAGTGGGCGCGATGGAATCTGTGACAAGCGGGCCACTACCGCCGATATAGTGTCATCATTCACTGCTTACATATTGCAAAAACTAGCCATCATACAGTGGAGTGCCCGCACTGGTTATTTCATGAAATTTATTGCCTCAACCATAATATTTTCCGCTTCGCAGGGAGTTTTACTGCTCGTGTTTCGAGGGGTACTCCGGAGCGGACTGTGGAGTGGGCCCGCTGTGTCCGAGGACGTCCAATATGTGCAAAAACGGCGGTACCTGCAGGTAAGTGAATTCATGGTCTACCTACTACTAATATTTTGCTTTACTCACACCATAGACCTAAATACATACAGACGTAATGATAGAGATAATAACTAAGCGTATATTTTTAAAAGACTGCCATAAACAGGGTATCACAATTCAATTACACAATATCTTTACCTATTGTTAGCTAATTTTAATAACTATTTTTAAAATCGATAGAGACTCGTATTTGTCACGTATTTATTTGGTCACGATTAAAGTAACCACCTTTCTTTACAGAACTAAATCCACTTAATAAATTATTATTTAATTCCATGTTCTAAATTAAAAAAATCGAATGTAAGAAACATTGTCGTTCATCCCTAAATTTTATTCACTTTATAATTAAACAATGAGAATGTTAGTAATTTTATTATGTTCGAAGTCACTTTGAAGGGAACAATAAAGAAGTTTTCATTCATTCACTAATTTTCATAAAACAAAATTTAATATCTAAAATGAAAAGGATAACGAAATTATTTATTGATAATTTCTCAATTAATTCTCGTTCCATACCAATTTTTGATAGATAAATATCGTTTATTTGTTTGTTACTAATCACACTCAACATGTTCATAAGAATAGATAATACATAAAATAACATAAGATTTATAAAATTTTGTTATTATGTGTGATCTGCAGCAATACAAAAAGGTCGAAGCTCAGCGTAGAACATTATTCAAGAAACAAAACACTGATTTTCAGCTTTAACCCATTTGAGGGTACGTGAAAATAATAATTAAAATAAATATAAAATAAAAAGAGCAATATTTTTGGTGATTGTCTGTGCGGTGTGTGTATTTTGATATAATTTTAACTGAGTGGTAAAGATAAATCGAAAAAAAAAGAAAATAATGATAAGAGAAACATAGAAAGAAAAAAATATTGCGAACATTCTAAACTGTTTTGAACATAAATTTCATATGAGAACTCTGAATCGAAACTTAACTAATCCAAATAGACCTAATTGATACAAAAAGTAATGAAACTGAAATAATAACCCCACTGAGCTACTAATTCAAGCTAGCTAGGTACCAGTGAGGTTAATCCATTGTGATGTATTTATCAGAAGTTAACTATGTACGATATATACAATTAACCATTGTTATCAAAGGGGACCGCGTGGAGTTGAACCTGACTATATATATTTTCAACAATGGGACCGCTATTTTCCCTTCCCATATACATACAACAGCGACATCTATTCACAAGCATGTCTGCGACTCCCACGCTATATTTAGTAGGCATTTGCTTGTTCCACAATTTACTTGGAATAACGAATTTCCACAACGGAATTCCTGCTTGATATTTGTTGAGATAAACTTTGGCTCGTTACAAGTTAAATGCACATTACTCTGAAGCGGTCCCGTCTTATTTAACTTGTGTGCGGGATGCTTGAAGGCGCTGTCTTTGTGTTTTCTGTGAGACGAGCCGCTCCTGATTTTCACTACACGTTATTTAACTTGACAACTCCTTAATTCAGTACAAAGCTTCTAACACCTGATACCACGAATACTACAGCGTGTTTTGAATCTATTTTGCTCTTTTTTTTTAATGGTGTCAATCATAGATATTTTTGTTTTGTTTTTATCCCTATTAATAGGAAAGGCAAAAGGACTAACCCTATACAGCCGTTGTCTCAGTTAATTTCTAACTACTGGACTAATAATAATACCAATTTTAAAATTCTATTAGAAATAGATAAATTCCCGATGATTTCAAAATCTAAATTCTAATTCTAATAATAATTTATTTGCCAAAAACATAATTATTGTATATATCATTATTATCCGTTTTTGCAAAATTAAAAATACCAATACGAAGCAAACCCTTTCGATTTTATAAAATAATTATGAAACTCATTTCAGAATTAGTAACAAATCGTAATTGCATAACAAAATAAAAAAAAATACACTTATTGCGAAATAATTAAAATTGATGCGAATTGAGAACGTAATTTTTTTTCGGAAGTAATTTAAAAAGCAACTTCATCAAAGTTACAGAGTAGTTAATACAAAGTAAACATCCCTAGGTTCTTTATCGTGGCATCTCCAAAGTTAGAGCCAGTTCTGTACAGTTCATCCGACAAAGATGAAATTATAAAGTTAAACTGACTGCCGACTGCATCCACAGAGGCTGAGTAACTTTGCACACTGAGTACGTGTATTATAGGTATACCAATTTCTCCGTTCAAACGATCTAAAGCCATGACAAGTGCCATGCTTTCAGTAAAAATATATTTGTCTCAGAAATTAACCCACCTTTCAAGGGTGAATTTCTATTATAGCTAGGTGGTGAAAAATAAGGCTATCTGGTAAAATATCCTTACGTAAGAAATATTTTTTTATACTAGTATAGTGACAAACAAGCATTTTTTTTATACTACTTAGAATGGCAAACAAGCTGACGGCCCACTTGATGGAAAGTGGTAACCGTCGCCTATAGACATGAGCAATACCATGAACATAACAGAGTATACTGTTTCGCCCATGATACCCCCATGCGTTGCCATTCCTGAGGACTCAGGTGTTATTCCTCTGTATCCAGTAAATTCACGCCATATCCCACCCTTCAAACCGAAACACAGCCATGCAAACACAACTGCTTCACGGTTGAAACACGAATGGGACAGAGGTACCCAAACAATCAACTTTTATACAAAGTCTCCCTCTGGCATACGGCCCATCTGATGGTAAACTGGGTTACCGTAGCTTACAGACGTCTGTAACACCAGCGACGTCACGCGCGCATTGGCGACCCTTAATTAAGAGACGGCAACGCGCGTAAGAAATTATAACAAAAGAAACGAGATGTAAAAACATTCCTTTTTTATATAGTATGTAAATTCTAATTTTATAGTAAAATAAGTAAAATGAAACTGTTAAGACGCTAATAAGTAACAAACAAGCTAACAAACTCACTTTCTCGCTTATAATATTAGTGTTTTTATAATGTTGTGAGTTTATAACATACATATATTGAATCACAAAAAAAATAGATAATACATACATACATACTACTATTTACCTGTAATTGTAACCTATATGAAAAGTTAATACATACATATGTTGGGGACTGAACGCGAAAATTTAAAATTAACTAATTTGTCACCATTCCTTTTCATCGCCTGAATTTCGTAAGAAACAAGTAAAGAATAAATGCGCAGAGTTGTAGCATTTCTGTGCATTTTCTACCGATTTTATCATGGGGAGTGTTCTGAGGAATTGTTCGGATTGATACCTGCTGCTGATTTTCACTACAGTACAACCCGCCATAAACTAAAGTTTCATCCCAACCATCTGAAGGAGTGGCGGTCTTCCACCGTGTGTTTTTCAAGGCACTTTCTTCCACGCACAACCATTCTTTGGAATCAACTTCCAGCAGCAGTATTTCCGAACCGATACGACATCATAACCTTCAAGAAAAGAGCATATTCCTTTTTAAAAGGCCAGCAGTACACCTGCAATGCCGTTGGTGTTGTGGGTGATCATGAGCGGCGGTAGTCACTTACCATCAAGTGAGCCGCATGCTCATTTGCCCTCTGTGTTGAAAAAAAAATACCTAAAATGTATGTACATAATTATGTACTTTTATAAATATTATCTGATGTAAATAATGTAATAATGACAGTACATAATTTGCTTAGGTTATATAGATAAAGTGTGTCCATAGAAATGCTTCGAGAAAAACGGGTCAACTTTTTCATACAATTTTGAGTAATAAATAGTTATGAGTGATACCTTCATAACTTCTATATTTATTTTGTTTTACGAATTCTGCATCTTTTTAATGCGTAAACACGTTTATATATTAAATAATACGTCAAGATACATTTTATCCATAAATATATAGGATACTGATAAAAAAAAACTAGTCAGCTAATTGTCAAATTACCTGTTGACCCGTTTTTGAGGCTCGAGGCTCTATCTATATAATCTAAGATAATTTACTATTATACAGACAGATGGGTCCGGCGGCGGTGAGCTGTATCTGTGCTCCTGGATACACCGGTGACTTGTGCGAATCCCAAATTGCTGAGCCAGGTATGTATTTATAATATTATTTTTTTTATATTAAATAAATATATAAATAGCTGTAAATTATATCCCTGTCGATGGCGAGCGGTGTAACGATAAAAGTAATTCCTACAAAGCACTTGAGATCGTCACTCCATCTAATATGAGGCCATCATACTCGTACACTGCGTTACGGAATCGCCACTCAACCTTCGTTTCCCATCGGTTGTCGGTTCTTCAAGCTACGTGACCAGTCTATTTCCAATTATTATAATTAATATAATGAAGTTATATTAAGAAGTCGCGACACAAACAGTGGATTTAAACACAATATATACAAACACTGGATCTGTTCTGAGCGCTATAATTTTCTCCAGAGATTCCACAAAGAGCAATTACAGTCGGGCGGCGTTAAGAATCGCAGCGGGAATTGGCTAGCTACAGTCCTCCAATTAACTTCACTGGCAAATAGTTGGCTATTTGTAACAATACGATAAAAACCTAACTCCAACTCGGAGTCTAGTCGTTTCCAGATCGATCGGAATAATTTATAAGACCAGTTCCTTTTGTACACGATAGTTAGTTTTTATATTGTTTTAATTTGATAGTGATACGTAGTTTTAATGTAAATTAACAAAATATAAAAATAGCAAAACAAACCTTAAATCCTATCGGCGAAAGATTTTTTATTTTTCTATTAATATCACCCATTCCCTCCTTTCCTGTGGGAATCGTAAGAGGCGACTAAGGGTATGCGAGGGATGGGCAACAGCGTCTCTTTTAAAACATCTTCAAAGCCTAACTTCGGTAGCCAATCCACCTGCCAAGCGTAGCGACTGCTGGCAAAAACCCCCAAGGGTGGGAGGTTTATGTTTAGCAGTAGACAGTTAAATACTGGTATAATGATATACATAAAAAATATAAGCTATATACAATAATTGTTACATTTTGACCCAAATATTTTAGCACATAAATGTTTTACTCGAAAAGTTTTATACTTATACAGGGCATATTCACAAACATGGGCCTGTAAATTATAGTACTAAATGAATAGCTCTAAAGTCCAGACCTTTTTACCACTTTGTTAAATAAATGTTTCTATAGATGCCGTAGCACTGTTTGTTTCAAGCGCAAATTACTTGTATAATACCATCAAGTGTGACTAGTCAGAAAATACATTTTGTCCAAGTTAGTTAGGGCTGTTACCTATTTATTTACACTCAATATTGTAGCCTGCAAATTTTATATAAGAGAAATAAATAATCACTATTTAGATTGTATTTATTAACAAGTTTCTTTTTTGTCATTATCGAATTTTTTCGAGTATTCGTCGAAAATCTTGACTTATCTACTCGTACATTTTATGTATTTAAATAACTTTATAAACCAAATGATATTACAATACAAAAAGCCCACTTAATGCTAGCAGCGTTCTGTCCCAATCAACTTTTACATCATATTTTTAGATCCAAATTGCATATAAACTACAATGCAATATATAACAAATGGTCGCAATATTTCTTTTGTAATAGAAAAAAAATAGAAGCAACTTTATCTCACATGTTTTGCCACGCCCTTTTTGAATGGATCAATCACTATCTCATACACATGGCGCCACTCCAGCAACGCATTACATCATCTATCATAATAAACGGTCTGCATGATTCTTCCAATAGTTTACTGTCAGTGATAGAATTGATTCCAGTGAATAACTGTCTTGACTTCAATGCAAATTTTTACACGAAACTAATTTATCCAGTATTAATTGCCTAAAATCAGTTTAGTATTCTTAAATTGATATTTTTTGCATATGCACAAAATAACTGTTTCATTTTAATGAATAAGTATAATTTAATTTATACAATATAGAGAATTAACAAGAATAATAAATGTAACGATACATTTGTATAACTACAGTAACGTGGTTTTGTTGCTGAAAGCAGTCTTTTCAAAATAACCTTAAGGTAACGGACTAATTGTTATACAAGTAGGCATGATAATATTGTATAATTAAATTTGAAATAACAGCTTAAAACATTGAGGAAAATAATTATAAATACTTATTATTAAATTTAAAAATAAAATTATTAACTATCTATATACATATATACGTATAAATGCATACATATATATTAAATATGTACCTAATACTGGAACAAATATATTTAATTACAGGCACAAGAAAATTTAATATTTTAATTGTCAACCCTAAAGTTGGTGTACAGTTAAGTTGTGAATTTCTCCGTTCTCACTTGAATGGTTTTGTTGATACAACAGGTGTTTGGTACACATGTACTGGTTAACAACCAGTTTAGCAGTTCGTGAAATGTGACCAACTATGTTGTTCTGTCTCCGTATTGTTTCATATCTAACTTGCAAGAGATAACTAGGCGAGAAAGCACATTATACCATAATATACGAAAAATAATATCACGTTATACTAGTGAAATATGAAAAGTCCTATATAACCTTTATACCAGTACGCTTTTTCAAAGCTTTAATCGTATTAATGTAATAAATGCGAAAGTTTGTACTCTATTCGGAAGAAGAGTCGATTTGCATGAAATTTGGTACACGGGTAGACTAAATTAACATATGGGTGCTATAGTACATTACTGCAACGACCAGCAACTGAGGCATTGATGGACAAACATAAACAGTGGGCCGAGGCGTAGCCGAAGCACACATACGTGAGTCCATCAATGCCTAGTTGTGGCCAAGGCTTGTATAGTACTTTTCTCAAACAATGCGCGATAATCAAAAACACAACTTTACTTTTTAAGTTCAATGACGAATAACGAACAATAATAATTTTTCACGCGCCATGATGTTGCTTTGTTTTTTCTTTCAATAAACAACTTTCTATTTGCAAGCCAGTTCGAAATTTAAATAAAACCTTTTATTAGTTACCTCCTTGGTAGCCATGTTTCGAAGTAAAAGGTCATTCCATTTTTAAATTACAGGACAGATATGAGTTTACATATTAATTTATCTGGCTGCAAAACACGACAGATATGGATGATGCGCTGCCCGCATGTATCTGGCCAGTACGGCAATTTTGATTTATCTCGAAGATCTTCTTCAAATGTCAAAATAATGCTTACTTTTCGAAGCATGTTTGAGAAAAGTTATTTCACAGGATCAAAGCTGCATGACACAGCAAGTTGACTAATATATCCTTTCAACTTAGAAACTTATAAAGAAGAAAGTTATGTTGAGAAAAAGAGACAATATGGTGTGTTTAGATTGATTGAGTAACGATAAGATTGATTGATACTTTTTTTTTAGTTTTCTCCAAAATATTACTTAGAAAAAAATAAAATAACAAGAAATAGATCACAGAAATAAAAACTCTGGAAAATCCCTTATCTCATAATAATTTCTTATTTCGTATAACAAAATAAGCCCTTTAAAGATATTTTCTTCGACAAAGAATAACTAATTCTTAAATAGAATATTGTCACGCTTATCTTACTAATAATTGTTAGAATTTCTCTTACATTTAATGAGAATAAATAACAAATAAATCGATGTTAATTTAATTTACAAAAACGTTAAACTTATATTTACTTGTGTGTGTTAATATAAGTTTGATTTTTAAATAACAAAGTTAATCCTATGTCTAAACACATTTAAAAAAAAAGTGTAAATCCATTAGTGTTCACAATATTTTATGAAATTTATTTCAATTGCTATTGCTAGTTGTACCATGATGTACAGTCAGCGCCAAAAATAGATTATCCCATTTTTTCTAATCTCAATGTACCTATGTACTTCCTGCTATAACTAGTTTCCTTCTAACTATAACAAAGAGGGTCCGAATCGTAGATATGTTTTTACTTTAAACGTCTTTTTTTTAAAACAATTTCCGAGCTGATATAAATTTTTTTTAAGTCAATATGAGATCATTATAAAAAAAAAACTTTTCGTTCATAAAAAATTATCAAAATCAGTTTAACAATAATCATGTTGTATATAGATGATATTATATTAAAAAAAAAACAATAATCTTTAACTACATTATATTCTGCTTTGGCTAGCAATCCAAAGAAAAAATGTAGCCATACTTTTAGATTCCCAAAAGTAATTGAAAACTATTTTCTATTTATTGTCAATACATATTTTAGTTGTTAATTTTATTAATTTGTAATTTAGTATCTACTTGTATAACCAGAGGGAGACTTTGTACAAAAGTCGATTGCTTGAGTACCTCTATCCCATTCGTGTTTCGACCGTGAAGCAGTTGTGTTTGCATAGCTGTGTTTCGGTTTGAACGGTGGGATATGGCGTGAATTTACTGGGTACAGAGGAATAAAACCTGAGTCCTCAGGAATGGCAACGCATGGGGGGTATCATAGGCGAAACAGTATACTCTGTTATGTCCATGGTACTGCTCATGTCTATAGGCGACGGTTACCACTTTTCATTAGGTTGGCCGTCAGTTTGTTTGCCATTCTAAGCTGTATAAAAATATATATATATATATATATATATATATATATACCGTATACTATTTAAAATATTATATCTTTGCAGAGTGTGGTATAGAAGAGTGCTCAGACGGCTGCAAAGAAGAAAGCACGTGCGACTGTCATCCAAAAGACTCTGATTTCAGTAAGTATTCTTCACTTTAAAATTAAAATAAAAAAAACACACAGTAAACGTAACTTTAAAAATTTAACGTTAATGGACAACAACGTCTCTTTTAAAACATCACCAAAACCTAACTGCGGTTGTCAAACCGCCTGCCAAGCGTGACAACTACTGGCAAATCTCCCCTTAGAGGGGAGGCCTATGTTTAACAGTAGACAGTTAATCGCTGATATGATGATGATGATGATACAATGATCTCTAAAAACTAATGATTTAATATGTTTCATTTGTCATAATCAAATAGACTTTGCCCTTTAGTAGATACCAAGCATAAAAAGAGCAGTATTTTTCTTTTCAAAAAGACTGTGTGATACAATTATCTTCCAGAGAGAGATGTTATACGAAAGTCGTTCGCATAGGTGTACCTCTGACAAATGGAACTTTACTGTACGTTTGAATTAAGTACAGAAGGAATTACCAAGTAACGAGTTGTTACTACTACTAAAGCTTGCACGACAAATGAACGTCTTTGCTGCTGCTGTTATATATTAATATACAATAATAATAAATGCTGTATAGTTCCAACATACCTTCCTTTCCCGTAGATGTCGTAAGGGCTAATGATAGCAGTAGTGTCCCTCTTAAACATCTCGAAAGCCTAACAAAGCGCCTGCCAAGCGTAGTAACTACTGGCAGAATCCCCAAAGGGAGAGGCTTACCATTATATTTAAAGGCTGATACGACCAGCAGTTTATAATTAAAGGCTGATACGATGATCCCGATGATGATGATGATGAATAGTATATTAATATATCTTTTCATCACCCACCATTCTCGTACGTGTACTGTCCAGGTTTCTGAGCAGTACCATGGATATCAGAATACATCGTATCACCCAAATTACCTTTCATGCGTTTTTTTTTTGATGGGTGAAAATGGAATGGTAACCCCGCATGCGCTAACGGGATACGCTGACGGAGCACCAGTGAAGGGTGATCGATGAGAATGAAAACAGGCCAGTTAGCCCATTATGATGAATTCATTAGGAATTAACCATGATAGTTTCCAGGGGGAACCGCGAGGAGTTCGACCTGGTTGAGTATATTGCTAGCAATGGGATTCTCAGTCTCCATTAGTAACAATCTCTTTCCCCCCACCTTTCATGCGTTGCCCTTCCTGAAAATAAAAACGTTATGTTTCCGTACCCTATAATTTTACATCACTTAAACCGAAACATAGCCATGTAAACAACTACTGAAACATGAATGAAATAAAGGTATTAATATAAATAAATATCTATACAGATCAATTTGTACAAAGTCTGCCTCCGGTAATCAAGAAATAAGAAATGTGCTAAGGAATGTTTAATCTCGATTGATTTATTAAAAAAAAATTAACACGAATAATAAAATTCGGTAATTAAAATCTAATTAACAATACATATTAATAATTAATAACTGTATAATGAAACCTTATTGATGTTTATAAATTAACAATTTGAATATTCAATATTCGCCTTGGAGAATAGGCGGGAGTATATTATTAAATTATACATCGTACCAAAGTTTCAATATACTATCATTAATGAAAATAATATGTTACATTAGCGTTGTTATTGCGTTCATTAGGTATAAGGCGCCGTACACCATAATGTCTCCATGTCAATCATTATTTAGTAGATCAGTGGTACGTTTCATAGAAATCATATTTCATGGAAATGACGACCGAGGTAGTGTAGCAATTTGACACATTGCCTCAACTTATGATGGTTACAGATTCGATTAAACATTTGTATTTATAAATATATCTGTGTGTAATATATATTAATTTATAAAAAAAAATTATAACTGTCAATTGTTAAATACCATAACAGTCGTACAAAATTAGCTTTATTTAGAAGTAAGATGGTACTTTAAAATATATCCAGTTTTTAATAATAAAAACATTGGCTTGACAGCATCAGCACGCTTTGAAACAAGACTGCAGATAGTGGACCAAGCAAACATCAACATATCGCAAGAAATTGTAAAACAGGTAAGTCATTGACCGTTATGTCATGCGTACGTTTATGAGGAACTATCCCAAGATTAGTAATCAGATTCAACAGCGAAGTAACCTAATAGATGCGTAAAAGATCTCTGGCGTCTTCTCGGAGTCTCATCAAAGAGTTATGAAAGTAGATAAAACAAGATGTATATCAGCATATGCATTTTCATAACTTATAAATCTTTACACACCCTTAGCACTTGGCTCCTTACGTCTACCTCCTAAGATAATAACAGTAAAAGTAAATATTGGTACACTGAAAACAACAGAACCTCCTGAAAAGCTATTGTTCGTGATTGAGTCAATCAATCATTTATTCATACACAAACATACAATTTGTATTGGGATATTATATAAAACTTACACTAGTAGGTACATAATAATAAAAGGACAAGTAACTAGTTAAAATATCGTAATTAAAAATGTTATTATTTAATAACCAAGACGTCCGTTTGATACGTGTGATACGTGCCAAAGGTCCGTTTGACCTATCTCTAAAGATGTAAAATGGGACTAATGGAACAAGATAGAATACACCAAAAGTGCAAGAGAAGACTAATTCCAAATAAGACCGTATACTAAGCCACACAATGTATTACCACTTTTTTAGCCGCAGGATGTCGTTATTGGCGATTAGAGATCAAAATTCAATATATTTAACTAAATGTAACAATTGATAAATTGTATCACTTTAAATAAAAATGGCAGCTATTTTAATTAATTCTGAAAACGGATCCATATTTGAAGATCCATATTTAATTTTAGATTTTTATTTGAAGTGTATCCGGATCCTCAGATATCTATTTTGTAAGCAATCGGTCAAATAACAATGAAAATAAAAATTACAGTCATTTTGATTAATTTCAAACGAAAGAAAAGAAAGAAATCTCGAAATAAAATCCCATAACAAACCCCTAGATAAATGGCAAACAAATCTATTGATAGATAAGTTTCCTTTGTCATGACAACTGATCACATATTCAGAAAGGTTGGCTAGCGTGGTAATAAAGTGTTAACTTATGGGAAAAAAAGTACCTGCGGAGATTAAAATAGTTATATTAATGTTAATGAAAATCAATATAAAAATACAAGGTAACATTACTTCAGCCAGAATAGTAACGTGCACAATATTGTGCAACAAAGTATAGTAAAAGCTATTAACTAAAATATAAGAAATTGCAATATGTTGAAGCCATTTTACTGCTTAACCCATAAAATACATTACACATACCTTAACCGGTACTTTAATCGTTTTCAGATAACAAATTATTTAAAAGCATCGAATATTACGTTAGAAGATGAAACTGAAGTTTTAAACATAAGGTATGTACATCTGTTCTGTTCTATCCTCCTAATTTGTATTTAACGATAAATATATTCAATAATAGCTAAGATGATGATGATGTTAAATAGAGACAGAATTTTGTCTGTGAGTTACACAACTTGGAAACAGATATAAGAAGATAAAGGCCAGTAATACTCGATTTAACATACTAACCCCGTACGAGATATAGCGTGAAGATATTTATTAATTACTCAATATTGCTGACAGCTTTCATAATTACATATTTTAATTCTTTTAAATTTTTTGTTTAAATTTATTATTTATTTTTGAAAAAATAATCAATAACAAATAACAAAATGTGAAAAATTGAAAATATGAATTAAAAAGTTCAATATGGATACGGGATACGGGAACACGTAGTAAGGGTTATCATTAGCAGAAAGTATTATCGAAATCAGTGTACAATTGATAACGATGTATCGTTTAACATACACACAAACACACCGTAGAAAACAATATTTTCTATATTTTAATGTAACAACTACCGGTTTAACTTACGTATAATTTGGTCGGGAAAGCTCAAGACTTAAGTTCCCGGATGGTCTCTAAACTAGTCAAACTTTCTCAACCAAATTATACGTAAGGTAAACCGGTAAATACTATATTAAAATACAATGTGTACTTGCAAAACTTTTAACAATAAAATTTCCTCTATATTTCTATTCTCCCAAAGATACATATATCCTGTGTCCCTTATATCCTGTATCTCTTATATCCTGTATACTAAACAATATTAAGTCCACCTTTTTTATCTAATATTTTTGTAAAATGCAGTCAATAAACAATGAATGTTACTAATATAATAAAATTGTAACTAGACGATGTCTGTAAATGGTAGATACTTAAGAAATAATATGATGATGAGTTTCAATAGAAGCAAGAACAATCTTTTTTTTATTTTGTCTATCTGTCTGTATCTCTATCTACCTGTCAGTATGTTTGTTCCGGCATCAACCAAAAACTATTACACCAAATCGACTGCGATCTTCATAAAGATGTAACTTAAAAAATGGTGAAGCTTTATCATGATACGCCATCTAGAAGTCATCTATTGGTTTTCCTACTTCTAAAATTCACGAATACGAAATAGGGAGCAAGAAGCTAGTAAATTAACGAAGTAGCGGGCAAGAAGCTACTAAATTAACGAAGTAGCGGGCAAAAAGCTACTAAATTAACGAAGTAGCGGGCAAAAAGCTAGTAAATTAATGAACACCCTAATCGTAGTTCTCCAGATGTTAACGGAGGTAGAACAGTGTGGTTGCGCCTGTGGGGGGCAAGACGGGACGCGGGTGCACTCCGAGCGGCGCTCGTCCGGCTCGCGGCCACGCGGGCGCGCTCAGACCGCTTACGGATACTGCCCGCTAAACAACACTTCTACATGCAACCAGCGCTCAGTTTACAGGTATGAATGATTTATATATGTAATCCATTATATTCTTTCAAATATAATAACCTAATTATCTCATAATCTTCCCATCCTTATCCCAAATATTATTTGGAGTCGGCGTTATATGTTTTTTATCCATATTACAAAAAGATCTGGCTTATAGTTTTACGACCGGCCGCTTGCCTGACGTCAAACCTCTTTGGGAATATAATAACCTAATTAATTTGCTAATAATTAAATTGTTTCCCGCAAAAAACGACTTTAATTTTGGTAAAATCAGTTATTTTGATTTAAAAACTAAACTACTGAACTGGTTTTGATAAGATTTCTATATAAACAATCTGTAATTTATCATTTTAGAAAAACAAAGAATTGGCTAATTCGGTTTACAATTAACGGAGTTATGAGGTAACCAACATCAAGAAAAAAACATACAACCAAATTGAGATCTTTCTTCTTTTTAAAGTCTATTGATAATGGAATTCGCCGTTAAAAAATAACGCACTATACTTTATTGCAAAAATATTAACCAAATTGACTTGTATGTATTTGTATCGAAAACACTGATCTAGTGTATAAAAGCACGGACGGGACAATTGCTCGTGCACACCCACGTCTCGAAGAAAGCGCTGAAAAGGAGCACCGGGGGGGTTTTAGCCGGTAAGAGTCCGGCAGTCCGGGTCTGCATAAGCATTGCCCCTCGACAAAAAAAAAGTGTATAAAAGCACATGCGAGTAGCCATGACGCGAGGATATTATTTTTGCTATAAAATATCATGCGTACTTTGTTTTAGGTGTATCGTGACATTTTTAATACTTTTTTTAGATATTATACAAAAAATGCATACAAATTTAAATGTGGCAAGTGTCATGAACATGAACGGGATGTTTGGATCAAATGCATTAATTTTTCTACCGATTCTTGTACAAAACTTTTGTAATGCTTCTATAATATTTCATTTGATAAGCTAAAAGTATAATAATCCTGTAAGGTTTTCCTGATTTATGTTAAACCAATTATTTGCACTCCAACATAAAAATTATTATACCAGAATTTATTTTGTTCATAATTCCCACCAAATCTATTGCAACCTATACTGTGTATACGAACTTACCTATCTTTCTCGCTCCAACATTCATGTCAATGATTTTTCCCTTTTGTATTCACCATTCATTTTTTTTATATAACTTAGAATGGGAAACAAGCTGACGGCCCACCTGATGGAAAGTGGTAACCGTCGCCCATAGACATGAGCAGTACCATGGACATAACAGAGTATACTGTTTCGCCCATGATACCCCCCATGCGTTGCCGTTCCTAAGGACTCAGATGTTATTCCTCTGTACCCAGTAAATTCACGCCATATCCCACCCTTCAAACCGAAACACAGCCATACAAACACAATTGCTTCACGGTTGAAACACGAATGGGACAGAGGTACCCAAGCAATCGACTTTTGTACAAAGTATTCCTCTGGTAATTATTCTTCTATATATTGTTAATCTAGGACAATATTAGTCAGAGTCACTACACATAAGCGGGCATTTACCAGATTTATTACAGAATAGACTATATTAAAACAGATAACTATCTCAATCAATAACACTGAAAGTCTATCCAGACCGAGCCGTACGGATAATGAATTGCCTCATTTTTCCTATGTCTACAGCTCAAGCTTGTTCCTACAGCGTTTAATTGTTTCAAATGTGATTTTACCAATGCTTTCCAACGTTAAAAGTGTCTATTTTTTAACCTTTTCTATTCAACTGCCAGTAATAAAATAAAGGAAGTGTTAAGATTTTGCTAATCTATTTCAGTGCAAGTTTATCTTTTCTCTTGTGACTTGTTCTATTTTGATAAATGAAAAACACCATTTTAAACACATAAAAGCCTCTCGATTATAAGCGCATCAATTAAAAATGGTTAGACAAATTTCGATATTTTTTAGTATGTATGTATAGATTATATTTTTTTTTAATATTTAAAATTAGAACAGGGCAACATCTGACGATTCATCTTTTTACGAATAAACAGCACTTTCTCACTTAATATCAAATATATAATAAATCGTTTTGAATTGGTAAAACAAGCACACAGGCCTCACTCAGTGCCCTACGAATCCAGTATAATAATAGTTTTAGAGTGCCGTTGGGGCTACCTCGCTTTTGTAGCGCTTCTAGCATGTTTGCTCAATCTCGCGTAGATGATTACTACGCTATAAGGAGAAAGAGAATTGCATCATTGCTACACAGGGTTAGGACAAGCACCAACAGCATTCTTAAAGTAATAAGCGAGAAATATTACTCGCCTATAATTGGGCATTTCATTCAGATACTGATTTAGTCGGCTGGGTCACATCTGAATAAACTGCTTTAATTAAATTAATTTGCTTTTCTTTTTTACTAACGTAGTTTGTAAGAAAAGTGTTACTAACAAAATGGACCAAATTGTAGTCTGAATAATAAAATATATTATTATTTAAAATATTTTAATACTAGCAACTCGCCCAACTTCGCCCGGATAGATAAGTAAAAGTTCTCTAATTTCTCTGGAAATAAAACTCATATCACTCGCTGATAATGTAGCTTTCTATAGATAAAAAAATGTTTAAGATCAGTTAAATATTTTTTTATTACGTTGTTTATCCATTCTCTTTCCTCTTTATAATATTACATATTATAAAGAGGAATAATATAATATAATATAACAATACATTTTCTGTCCTAGCCTCAGTCTCCAAAAATCAAGAGAATTAATAGAAACCAAAAATGAAACATGTCCAATAAAGTTTGTTTTGTACGCGACTTTACACTTTTAAACAATCATAAATTATAACTCAATTGCTTTGAATTTTACATAAGAACAAAGTTATGAATATTGTGAAATCGACAGGAGTTCGTAGTCAAGCAGTAAAATGTTTATGCAAGCATAAAAATTAATGAATACTATATTTTCTTTGTTCCATATTTTCTAGAGTTTTTTTTTTCTACATTTTGACTTTATTATTAAAACATCTGGACCCAGTTTGAGAGTTTATCACCTCCTATCTTTATTTATTTACTTTTTTATTTATACTTTATTGTGCACAAAAATTACATTGTTATAATTATTGTTAATATAATATTAATTTGATTAAATTGCTCTGCTGAAGATTCCTGTGAAAATTACAAAAATGAAACTCAAGCTATTAAAAATTTACCTTAAAACTGATATAAAGTAGTATTTTATTTTACTGTCTGTACCCGTCTATCTATCTCCTGTCTATGTATCGGTGTGTGACTCCGGCATAGAATGGGCTACCGCCTTCCTTTTCCATGGGTGCCGTAAGAGAGGACTACGGACGGATGGGCAACAACGTACCTCTTAAAACAACACCTAAGCCCAATTGTGAATGGCCCGCCAGCGTATATCGTTAGCGCAGGCGAGGTTACGATTCCATTATCATCCATTAAAAAAAACTGCGAATGCTAACCCTAGGCGTAGCAACTATTGGCAAAACCCCCCATGGGAGAAGCTTATGTTCAGCAATGGACAGTTAACGGCTGATATGATAATGATGATGGTGACCCGTACGAAGCCGGGGCGGTTTATGAAACTAGCGCTTTATAAAATAACAATAAAACTCAATAAACTGTTTCAAAACATGTCGAAATATACAAACAGATGCTGTTGCATCTGATGCTGTTGCAACGACTTTATTTTACATATAAAGATAATGATTTGATAAAAGGTCCAAGAAACAGATATGCGATGCGAAAATGGATAGATGTCAGTACCAAGAAAGATCAAAACTCATCTATATCGCAGTTAAAAGAAAAATCTTTTTTGTATACCTGCATAATGATTGATTAAGTTCTAGTTATCGGAAGGAGGCTTTGTATAAAAAATATTTTCTTAAGTACCTCTGTCCCGTTCGTGTTTCAACCGAAAAACGCTCATGTTTTAATGGCTGTGTTTCGGTTTTGAGAGTGGAATATGGCAGTGAATTTACAGGGTATAGAGGAATAACACCTCTCACCATCAGGAATAACAGCCCTCAAGTTTAGCAATGCATCCCCATGCGTACCTTTATACTCCCCCGGTATCATGGGCGAAACAGTATACTCTGTTATGTCCATAATACTGGTCATATCTATAAGCAACGGTTACCACTTTCCATTAGGTGAGCCATCAGCTCATTTGCTAAGTGGATGAAGCATAAGATGTAAGTAAGAATATAGGCATTTGTCATTCAGTTTTCTTTGCCTGCCTACCCTATTAGGAACTTGGTTTGAAGATAAATATAGTTTTATAGTGCCCAAACCTCCCAGTAAATTAATATTAAATTGCTTTATTTAATACAATATAAGGTGGTTTCGTGTAAATCGAAAAATACTATTATGAAATCTTTTGTTGGCAGTGCCGCATTGAATGGTGGGAAAATAGGTTTTCCATTCCATTACAAATACTCGATTTGTGCTTTCACACAAAACAAATTAATTTTGCATCGCAAAAAGTTTGCCCACGAGGATATATATATATTTTAAATATGTACTTCAAAAAATATAATATTATAAATAAAAGCGTTAATAAATTTCTTGTATGTTTAGATGTTTGTGTTTGTTACTGAATTACGCTTAAAAGGCTAATTTGGCTGCACTCAAATTTAGAACACAAATACACCATATGATACGTTTTATTTTAATCACACAGACAAAGCCGCGGGGCGTTCACTAGCTATTTATGAAAATTTATAAAAATGTTCTTAAATTTATTTACGCAACAGATCTGAATTATTAACAACCTCAGTAAACTAAAAAATTTAATGATAATAATAATACTAAATATATACTACAAGCTGTGTACCAAATTTCATTTAAAATTCAATGTATTTTACGTGTAAGAGTAATAAACAACCATCGATCCATCCTAAACCAAAGCCGTTTTTATTCATCTGTATTACTGAGTAAGTTCTCAATTTGATTTTATTTTTTAAATATTACACAATAGCAGTTTTCAGTCCACTGCTGCACATCGACCTCCTTCATAGACTGCCGTAAAGAACGGTCCTGAGCTACCTTCATTCATTGACTCCCTGTATTGCATTTGACGTTATCACTCCATCTAAAGGAAATCGTCCTATATTGCGTTTACCTGTACGGGGTCTTCACTCAAGAACCCTTCTTTCACATTGGTTGTTGGTTCTTCGAACTATGTGACCGACACATTCCCGCTTCAGCTTACTTATCATTCGAGCTATGACCATCATTTTGATTTTTTTGCGGATATCCTCATTTCGGATTCTATCACACAAACAAGCTCTGAACGTAGCCCTCTCCATAACTCGCTAAGTAACTTAAAGCTTTTACATCCGGGCAAACGTGTAGGACCGATACCATAAGTCATCACTGGCAACACGCACTGATTAAAATCCTTCATCTTCAGACTAAGGTATTTTGGACGAGATATTTTTTATGTGTGTTACCACAAAACTCCGTCGTTTATAAACTGATTTGAATTTTTTTCCGGAAAGGATATACTTTTAGACTGATCCTATCAAAATTTTATCAAAATCGATTTCGTAGTTTAGTGTTTAAATCGAAACAACAAGTTTTGTCACGACGAAGTCGATGTTTCTTTTTGTAGAACAAAATCTACTTGTGATGATAAAGACCTAAAACAGATTCTAATATATACGTAAAATCTTCATTGATTTCACTAAAGTTTAACTAAAACTTTGTGGTTGTAAAGTGCAATAAAAAGTCGCGCGCTAACGTCTCTTCGCCTAAGAAGTTCGCGGGAGAATCTAATTATTTGAAATGTGCATTTTAGCACTAGTCGGGAGCGCTTGGCGTGCAGCCAGTAACAGATATATCTCGTTAACCTGACTTAGTCGCTTCTTTATTGCTCTAATAGTGGAGGTCTCATCTGCCGTTCCTAAGTTTCTAAGCCAATTTTACTTTTAAGCTGCAAAGCATAGATCGTAATCAAGCTGTCGACTATACTTGCAGACCAAAATATTTTATGCGCTGACGGGCTTAAACCGCTACGGAAAAGAATACACGGTAGTATTTTCAGAAGTATACTAAATTGGACTTACCTCTTCGGTATGGTAATAGAAATAATCAGGCCAAAATCATGAATTTCTCATATACTTTTTGTGCATCCCAAAATAAATTAAGATGTTGTAGTTAGGCATTTGAGTTTCAATCTTTTTGAAACTGTATAAATATATCAGACTATTGAGGTTTCATTGCCCGGACATTAAATATATTTCGCTCACTTGCACTATATGTACCAAATTAAGGGTATGTAATTTAAAGTTCAAAACAAAAGGCCTCCGATACCTTTGGAAAAATGTAACCAAACTGTACTGGAATCAATATCAATAGGACCGCCCAGTAACTACGTGCGAGCACGTTGACGGCACTTATTCGATGTTCCATTAAGAAGAACAGAGTTCGCTAACCAAGCTTCCCTATCTCTTGCATTGAAACTACTTAATGATATTTTGAATCAGTATCCGCAATTGGATGTATTTGCTTCCAACTTGCTGGAGTTTCGTCGAGTGACTACAGAGTATTTGTGTTCAGACGTTTTTTGTTTCAGTTAAATCTTTTTATATTATTTTTGTTATTTTTGTGTAATATTACTTTTTATATGTTATTGTACTCGTGCTTTCCTGGATGAGCGTATTGGAAGACTGTAAGGCTCACCCAGTGGATGTAATAAATAAATAAATAAATAAAATAATATTCCAGGGTTTAACAGTAAATCAACGTCCGGAAGTGTGGGAAGGCTCAGAGTTCATATTGAGCTGTATGGCATACGGCTCCCCAGATATCGTGTTCACATGGTACAAAGATGGAGTGAGAGTCAACTTCAACGGTACCACCAGGTAATTATGCGGACATTTTTATTATATGTAACTATAGTACTTTCCTGTTAAGGTATATTAGATGAATGATCAGCTTATTCACAGTTAAGTACCTATACAATAATAAAAAAAAGTAAAAGGAACAATACATTGTTTAATATATATTACTGCCTTTGCTAATATAGGCACCTCTATAATATACTCGTATAAAATTAACCCTATTAAAAACTGTCGATAGCCCTCGGCTAAGATGAGATTCAACGAATTGAAATCTCGCCGACCCTTTTCTGCTGGTAAACGGCCCTTTGAAGTTTTGATAGCTACTTTGATTATTAATATAATTTTTATTTTAGTCGACATCTTTTAAATATTCTTTGCACTCAAAAAATGATACTGTCCACAGCTTTAAATGTAACTCTAAAATACTTCTGTGTATACCGGATATGATGAGCAAATACATTAAACATCAAAGCTGAGAATAAATTTTAGCCAAATTTGGAAATTTAATTATATTTAATCTAATTAAAGCATCTAAATGGGCACTTTTTGAGAATCTAACCTTTTAACCTAAAAAAAGAACAAATTACTAAATTTTTAAAAAGTCCAAATTTTTATGACGTAAAAATCGCACTTATCTAAATGCCGTTTTATACAAACACATTATTTATTTAATAATTAATTAATCTTGTAAGTACGCTATATTCTAATTCTCCTTTTATACAGAGACCTGTAGCCATAAATAGGGTGTTATTTGATTATTAAGGATATATAAATTTGCATATTCTCCGTGTTGTGACAGAGTAAGAACATGATATACCAGTCTGTCACAAAATTGGTCTTACATATTTAATTGTACCTCGAGTTGTAAATAAACCATTCATTCATTCATTCATACCAGCACTCACCTATGTTAATTACTATACTCGTATTACGTAATTTCTCTGATCACTCCTTCTTATTCGTTTCGTGTATTTTTCATGATGATGATGAAATGCTGTAACCGTCTATGTTAATAATATGTAATAACGAAGCACCAACGGAGATTGAAAAAATGAAGTCAATTCAGTTGACCCATCATAGCTACTAGCTACTAGCGAATTAACTACGTTACAAATACCTTGACTAATATAAACACTGCACAATTATAGGAAACTAGATCGTACTAGTAAAAATAATTACATTTTCAGAGACATGTGGACTCGAACAGTAGTAGAAGACGCACTAGGACGTCGCATGTCAGTATTGGGCATATCGGAAGCGCAGCGGCCTGACAGTGGCAAGTGGTCTTGTTCAGCCGACGATGCTGGTAGACGACGCTGCCGTGCGTTAAGACTGACCATATTAAGGCCACCTGATATACGACTCATGCCGTCCTCACTGACTGTCAATAAAGTAAGTTTATTTGTACACTTTTGGTTTGGACATATCTTCCAATTGATGTTGAAATAATAGATAATCGGTTACAATAAAGCCAACCTGATAGAAAGATTGATAATTCTTTATAAAACATTCTTCTATATACAATCCGGCTCAAAGGACCAAATATCAAAATTCAAGTACCCCTAACTACTTTTTTAATAAAGAACATACATATACATAAGATGACCTATACTTCCACTTTTGGTTTGCTGGAAGAAAACTCTTACAAAATTAAGCTCGCCTTTGCATATTTGCTTCTCACTTCCATGTTTCTATATATTTTATTAGTATGTACAATAAAGTATAAATAAAATACTTTATATATAAGCTCATATACGTTAACTGATATTGCGAAATCATCATCAGAATCTTTGGTGTCATCATAAATCGTCAAAATATGTTTTATGAATATCTGCAATTATTACAGGGTGACAACGTGAGCATCACATGCTTGGCTGGTGCTGGACGAATCCACGGTGCTCTAGGATTTAGTTGGGCAAGGGAACGTACTTTGCTCCCTCTAGTGCCAGGACGCGAGGTCTGGGAAGATCTTTACCCAGCTGGCAGCGTATTGAAGCTTTATAACGTACAGGTAATCTACAAATGATTATACTTACAGCGAAATATCTTCAAATCATAAAATTATTGCTCTCAATTATTAACCAAATTCCAAAAATCTGGATTCAATGTGTTTACTCTGTTATTACATAAAAGCGTCCTTTAAACTTTATATTTTACTAATGTACTGTAGAAATCAGGCGAGTATCGCTGCAAAGTGTCGTCAGTGGCGGGCACCATCTCCAAACGTGTAACGGTCTGGGCGCTGGGTCCTAATGAGCCAGCATGCAGCGCAGACGCAGCACTCGGACTCCGCTGGCCACGTACAGCGCCCGGGGCGCTTGCAGCCGCACCCTGTCCACCTGGACATATCGGAGATACCACCAGGTTATACTCATTATCTGAGTTTGTAGATTTTTTTAATAAATTAATGTGATATACTAATTCCACATACATGGGTTACACTAGAAAGGAATCAGTGAGGAATAATAGGGATTTTTAGTCACTGAAGTCAAAGTAGAAGTAGGCAAACAAGCATACGCCACACCTGATGATAAATGGTTACCTTACGCGCGCGCGTTGCTGAACCTGAAGAAATCTCTTTACTCCTTTTATGAAGAATCCCATGCTATAGACTTGGAGAAACCTCAACAAGAAGCTCATTCTATATCCATAAGTGTTCATGGAAGAAAACATCTCTAAAACTGCGCTATACGCAACCATCTAGGCTATAACGTATGGGGGTATGCAATTATTTAAGATACATAAAAAACATATTGTATTATTATTTCAGATTTTGCGAACCGAAAACTGGCCAACACGGAGTCAAATGGATGATGCCAGATTTCTCAGACTGTATCGCAGACTCGCTCAAAGATATTTATGAACAAGTACGTAAACTAGATATTTCAACACATGTTTCGTCATATCTGTTTAGAAGAATATTTAATTCTATATATATCTAGAAGATTTCTTCAAGAAGAACTTTTTCCAAGTCTCCAAAAGAAAATTTTCTTTCGCCTTAAAAACGTGAACTGTCATTTATAAACGTCTTTTAACTCTCCTTATTTCTACCATCTGCCAATCTACAAAAGATACCACTGCCAGTCACATTTGGATATATTGAAGCAGTTAACAAGTGTAGGGAGCTCTGTGACCTAAATATATATGCAAACATTCTAATAATATCAATATATGTAAATAAACTCCTTGCAAGCACATTTAAATAAACCTAACTGGCAATGATAAATACTGAAATACCTCACCTTTATGCCTCAACTTGATGACCATTGTCCACCCAGTTCAGCCGCATCTGGTACGGGTACTCCTGGGCTAACGTATCGCACGTGGCGCGGCAATACGGCGCTGTACTGCGTTCACTACCAGCACGACCTGGGGATGCAGCGCGACCATTGCAGCACGCGCGTAGCATGTTGAACTATCTGCGTTCAGTCGCTGCCACGCCGGCAGACCGCGCTGCAGCCGCTGAACATCTACTGAGGATATACGACGCACTACTCAGACACCCCGATGCCTTCCTTGATGAAGAGGTTAGTATATACATCTAGTCACAGATTACGTTTAAGTGACATATTATTTAAGTGATCGTTGAGGTCACATGATATCGCGGCAACTGAACATTCACTCAGGATGTATAAAATCGCTGTTCTTTTTATACAATTTAGAATAGAAAACACGCTAACAAGCCACCTGATGGAAAGTGGTAATTTTCACTTATAAACGTGAAGACTACCATGGATATAACAGAGTATGTCCATGATGTCACCCATGATGTATGCCCAGAAGAATAAGACCTGAGTCCTCAAGAATAACAACGCTAAACAGTATACTCTATTATGGCCATAATACTACTCATGTGTATAAACAACAGTTACCACTTTCCACCAGGTGTGCCGTCAGCTTGTTTGCCATTCTAAGTTGCATAAAAAAATTATGTATTTATAATAAATCAATATAATGGAGTTGATACGGCAATACGATACTGTGTGACTAGAATTGCGGTCGCCAACCTGCCTGCCAAGCGTACCAACAACTGGCAATATCATTATTTTATTTATTAATTATAAAACCAACAATTTGGATAATCTTTTTAATTACAGAAAATCTATGAACTTCAAAATGCAATAGCCGATACGGCGGCCATGAGAGACCATTTAGACCTACGGCTTCACGAATTCACAGTCAAAACTATACCAGTCCGTGACGACAACGCTGCTCATTTCGACCTTCAACCAAACACAGGGTCCGAGGAATGGCAGCTGACTTCGGTCGGAGTGGAACTTGTAGGAAGAACTGGCAATGCTTCAGTGGTGGCCATACAGTATCACAATTTAGCAGCTAGATTACCCTCTTTGAGAAGATCTATTGAATTCAGGTGACTTGAGATTTTTTTTACGTTAATGTAATTTAGAGAATAGTTTAGAAAAAGGTTTTTGAATAATAATGAATTTCAAGAAAATTCTTTGCAAATTTCAGTCTTAAACACAACTTTACTTACTAAACATATAGCACTAAATATACAATACCTGATTTTCTCAAATAAAAGATAGTATTTGCTTATCTGGAAAATATATTGACAAGAAATGTGAAGTACTTCTAAAGCGACATAAGTTATGTAAACATCCTGGTGATTATTTGTATAAATTGCCATAAAAATTGTCTTTTGATAAAGACAGTTTTACGATTTTACTTAAATTTATAATAATAAATATTCCTCCTCTTCTACTTTACTTACTAATTTGATTACTGATCAATATCAATATTTTAGCAAAGGATCTTCCAGAAATGGCCGTGAACTAGAGTACGAGGTGGCATCTCAACAGCTACAACTGGGGGCAAGTGGCGCCGTCGACTCAACGATGCAGCACACAGTCACCTTGCTGTTCACACACATCAAGAACCATAGTACTGTCGGTAAGTCTTTACGTATGATACGTGGTTAGATATCTGGAGAAATCAAAAGACACTTACTTTTGCTTTAAGTCTATATATTTTGAATTCCTATTGCTGTTTAATTCTGCTTAATGATTTATCTACTTAAAAGACTTATTTTTCAGTCTTATAAAAGAATTTTAATAGTCGTAATTAAGAATACTATTTTTGTTTCTTTTATCTCTCATTTGAAAAAAGAAACTTTTCTACATGTCTGTCCTTTGGTCTCACCTATCCCTTTGCGTCTGCAATACTAATTTGATCTGACATTCTTTCTCTACAATAACAATTCAAACTTTTAAACACAATTACATACTTAAAATGCTTTTACACGAGCTCTAAACGTCGTTGTACCTTTTTCTATAAAGACTATCTAAAATGACCACACCTCATCTGTATACTACGTCATAATACGATCTAAGCATAAGGGTCTCTAACACAACAATATATAATAAAAATAATGTTCCCATTTAAAATCCTTGTAAGCATTAATTTTAGCTCAAATAGCATAATGTATTACTCGGTAATAACACCACCTAGCAACACAGGTCAAAAGAATCTGAGACTGCTTTGTCCTACTCAACGAGATATAAATGAATTGGTCATAACACATAGCTACATAGCGTGCAAGGCACGAGGCGACATGTTTTCGTTGGACGCGATTTTAGCAAGTGCCATCTGTCTCTATAAAATATATGAACAGGATGTATGTAACTGTAGGGTCGAAGATGTCGTGCGGCGTCCGCAGCGCTCGGCAGCCCCGCGCGTGGAGCTCGGAGCGGTGCGAGGCGCGAGCGCCCGAGCCCGCGCTGCTGGCGTGCCGCTGCCGCGGGCTCGGCACGCTCGCACTCTTCACCGTCGCACGCTCCGCCCTGGTCAGTTGCCCCTTACCACATACATAATGACTACTATGGTGACCCAGCAAACGTTTTGCCCCCTACTGTCTCCTTCTAGAACCAATTTCCTTATTGGAATAATAAACTATCCCTTCTCACAAGTTGGAGCGCACAGTACATATTTACGAAACTTAAGCTATGTTAAAGATTAACGAGAACGAACATCGTAACTGAAACCAATATCGTACTACTTTAATGAAAGGTTTTAAAGGTATATGGCGTAAAGTTGCCTGATACAGAAGATCTACATCTTCTGTACCAGGGGGGACGGCTATCAATTTAAAAAGTAGGATATAGCAATGATACTTCAGGGTATGAATGCATAAGACCTTAGCCATGAGAGTGATGCTCGTAAATATAGGCGACTAATACCACTTCCTATCAAGTGGATCGTCATCTTGTTTCCCATTCCAACTTATGTAATAAAAATTATCACGATAAAATAGAAAAGCAAAGTTTTTAAACGACATACTTTAGAGTATGTTTATGCTATCTTCGCGGAAAAAAATATAAGCTTAGTCTAATCGGAAGCTTGATTTACTTTACGTCCTTGCTATTTTCAGTAATTAAATATAATTCTTCAAATTTCCAGACAGACTCAGAGAAAGATCTTCGTGGAATCGTCAAGATTACAGCCAGTTTAGGAGGTGCTATGTGCTTGGTAGCGGCAGCGCTGCAACTCTTGGGTCTTGTTCCTGGAAGGAGAGTGAAGTTGCCAGTGCTACTGAAAGCCGCGACAGCCGGTACTCATTCTGCTGCGATATTGACATTGTTGGAGTGTGATACTAGACAGGTAAATATCATTTTCAGTCTACAGTTTGACAATTAAACTGTCACAACACTTGTGACAGTTTAATTGTCAAAAATGTATGATCTCCCAAGTAGACTATTTAAATATTTTAGTCTGTCAAGCCTAGATTAAATGTTATGTCCAAATTTCAATTACACGCAAGAGTACGCAATCACTCACGGACTCGCAGTCCCTGCTCCTGAATTGTTTGGTGTCCGCCCTATGATCCGGGCAAAGACTTCAGTTATGCGCAAAGACATGTCTGAGAGCATATCTGCGCCTATTTTAAAGAGTCGGATTCCTGAAAAATAATATTAAATACGCTAATGAGTACATTAGTTTAATGGTCGATGCAGGAGGAGGCGTGCCCGGGCGCGCTGGGCTGGGTGTGCGCGGCGTGCTGGTGCGCGGGTTGCGCCGCGCTGTGCGCGCAACCGCTGCTTCTGCAGGCCGAGCTGGCCGCGCGTGCGCAGCGTGCGCCCTCTGTGGCACTGCTAGCAGGTATGCATAGCACGGGAGGAGGTAAAGACACTACGCCGGCATACATAGACCAACAGTGTATGCCGGCTGCAAATCCAGCGACCCGGAGGTCGTCACCTCCGAAGTAGAAGCCGGGGTAATGGGGTACGCCCCGAGGCCCCTACCTCAACCGCCCACACATCATCCGGCGGGCAAGAGAAGACCATGTTGTTGTTGTTGACGGGAGGAGGTGTGTTACTGCTGCTGCTGCAGACCAAGCGAGGAGAGCGCACGCAGCGATAAAGGCAGGCGTACTGGTGGTGATCTCTCCCTGGCAGATGACAATATATTTATCACTATATCAACCTTAAATTTGGACTAATCCAATTTGGCACTATAATATGTTTCGTCAATTCTTTTTTTAACATTTCACATTCTATAAAGTCTTAAGTGCGTATGATTGATATGAATGTAAGGCGTGAGTGTGGCCGGCAGGCGTGTGCACGCTGGCGTGGCTGTCGGCGCGGCTGTGGGGCGGCGCGCCGCTGCAGGTGGGCGCGGCGGCGGCGGCGGTGTGCGCGGCGGGCTGCGCGCTGCTGGCCGCGCTCTGCCTCGCGCTCGCGCTCTGCGCCGCCGCGCGCCTGCGTGCGCTCGCGCACAAGGTGCCGCCCGAGCGCAGGACCTACCTCCGCGACAGGTACCCTATACGTCTACATGCTGCACGCTTACACGCGACCGATCCACCATTAGTTATCCGCAATCATTTTTTAATTAATCAATCAGTAACATTGAAAATTAAGGATTGCTTTTGAAAATTAACAGATATTTGTGGCATTACCACACTTCGTCAAACTACGGTTATAACTCATATTAATATCTACTCTTCAAGCTCTTTCGCATTTGATTCTCATATTAACATGGTTGGTAAAATATACATCATCTGCCAACTTTTGTCTTCTCACAGTTGCCATTCAACTATATATTACAATGTTTATTTATTTATACAATAAAAATAGGGCTACACAAATATTATATAAATAGAAAATCAAATGCAAAATTCTAGCAAATCAATTAGAAAGAACTGATTCTAATTCAGCTTACAAGGTTTATCCTAAAAAACTAACATACAATTCACAGGTTACAGAGGAATAACACCTGAGTCCTCAGAAATGGCAACGCATGGGGGGGATTATCATGGGCGAAACAGTATACTCTATAATGTCCATGGTACTGCTTATGTCTATAGGCGACGGTTACCACGTTCCATTAGGTAGGCCGTCATCTTGTTCGCCATTCTAAATAGCATAAAAACAAAAAAACATACATTGCAAATTAAACGAAACTTGTAAAAAAACGACGAAGCTGTAAGCTCTTTTCAATGTCAGCTATGATAGAATGCGAGTAATATAATACACACGGTGTGCAGGGGCCGCGTGATCCGGCACACGCTAGTGCTGCTGCTGACGACATCGGCGACGCAGGCGGCGGGCGTGGCGTACGCGCAGCCCGGCCCGCGCCGCCTCGCGCTCGTCGCCGCGCTCTCCACCGCCGCGCTGGCCAACGTACGCACACACCTTCAAGCCTCTAATACACGTTGGACAAGCACCCTCTAGTACACTTTGAACGAGCACGCTCGACGACTGCACTTAGATAATAAATACTGAGCCTTTTGCATGTTTTTGCCATTTGTGGCTTATGCTCTTCAACGTCCCACCGAAAAAAACAATAAGATCATTACAACAAATGGGAAAAAATGGATTGAAAAATGAGGAATGAAAGGAAACATGATAGAAAAAATTTGCTAAAAAACCTGGAAATTAATATCCGGGAACAAGCTGCACTCCTACGGGGGGCTACAAAAAAAAACAAAACGTCCCGCCGAGTGTCAGTTTCTCGTGCATAGCGCAAAAGCATTCGATGCAATCCACAAACAGTGATCACTCGTTTGCTGAATTTTCAGTTCAGTTTTTGAAAAATCTGAGTTTTTGTCTGTTCTTCTTAGCTGAAATTGCATTCTAAATGGGCGGTCGAAGCATAAAAAATTACTATTCAGAAATTTAAGATTATCTGACTTCATCCTCATCTATCATCCCTCACTGGTACCCCGCCACCGTATACCCCGATAGCGCAAGCAGAAATACCATTTTATTAGATATAATCTATTTAAAAAAAAAGAAAAACTATGTTTAAAGTTTTTCCAAAAGTCGAGGAAATTAGACAATTTAGACATTTTTCGGTATTACAAAAAGCAATCGTCTATATTATACGTATGTGTTTGAGCAGGGCGTGGCGATGGTGGTGTGCTACGTAGTTCGCGACGAGGAATGCGTGCGGGCGGCGCGACGTCTTCTGTCACTACCAACCCGCGACTGGCATGCACACGACTCGCCCGCTGGCGACACGTCGCTAAGCCGTTAGTAACTCACTACTACTTACACAGAGGCCCTGCATGCTATCGCTACCAAATAGCATTCTGTAAGATAGTTTCAAGAGCAATACCAGAGAGGTACCGCGTACTGATAACGAATGAAAACGTAGTCTACGTCTCTCAGCCTGAAAATTCTGTCTAACGATAAATAAATCTGTCTACCAGAGGGAGACCTCTGTCCCATTCGTGTTTTAACCGTGAAGCAGTTGTGTTTGCATGGCTGTGTTTCGGTTTGAAGGATGGGATATGGCGTGAATTTACTGGGTACAGAGGATTAACACCTGATTCCTCAGGAATGGCAACGCATGGGGGGTATCATGGGCGAAACAGTATACTCTGTTATGTCCACGGTACTGGTCAGGTCTATAGGCGACGGTTACCACTTTCCATCAGGTGGGCTGTCAGCTTGTTTGCCATTCTAAGTTGTATAAAAAAAAAGTACCACGTATTTATCAATCTTCGACTCTCACGCTAATAAGTAAAATGTCTATTCTGCGTAAAGAAGAGAACAAACACAGTAAGTCCCCACATTAACTCGTGTAACAATCCATAGATTTGTCTGTAATATTTTTATTCGGGAGAAATGGAAAAAGATACGACACATGGACATTGAGATTCGAAACTAGTGATGTGCAACATTTATTACAATTACCTTTTTTATAAGCGCCATCTACATTTACGATTATCGATGTCGATGTTATACAACAGTCTACAATCAGTTTTCGCCTTGTTGTTAGAGGTAACTTCAATATTTTAGGTACTAATACCCTATTTCTCTATACTATTTCAGTGTACATAAAGCAAGGAGGTGAGGTGGAAAGCCGCGGCGGTGTGGGCGTGCTGGAGTCGTCGTCTTCGCCCGTGTCGCCTGCCTCTTCCTACTGGCGAGCGCCCGGACTGGAAAGCCCGACGCACGCCAGAGTACATAGGTAACGAAAAAAATTATTTTTAATACATAAACAACAGCTACAATTCTGGTCAGAGAAAAATATGGTTACCCAGAATATATAGAAAAAAAGTCATTTCAAGCAGCAAAGCAAAGAGGCAACAATGGACGGCCTTAATCTTAAATAAAAAAATTATAATACTCGTACTTAGCAAATCTTTCCCACACTGCAACCTGTGTATTTTAACACTTACAATTATTTAAGGACTTTGGAAACTAATGGATAATACATGATCAATCAAGTTCTTTAAACAACATGTTCTAAACGAACGTAAAAGTAGTTTACCAGATTTACCAGAGAGACTTTGTACAAAAGTCGATTGCTTGTGTATCTCTCCCATTCCCCATTCGTATTTCTGCCGTAAAACAGTTGTGTTTGCATGGCTGTGTTTCAGTTTGAAGGGTGAGATATGGCGTGAATTTACAGGGTACAGAGGAATAACAACTGAGTCTTCAGGAATGGCAATGCATGGGGGGTATCATAGGCGACGGATACCACTTTCCATCAGGTGGGCCGTCAGCTTGTTTGCCATTCTAAGTTGTATAAAAAAAAGTTTGAATTTGGACAATAACACCTAATCTAGTTTAAAAGAGAAATTGATAAAGCAACATTTTTTTTTGCAGACGACAATCAACACCAGACAGCAGAGCGGACATAGTCCGCTGCGTAGAATACAAAGACTCAGTTCTGAGCCCTCACCACTACGAGGGCCGCCACGTGGGCACCACGCACGCGGTGTGCGACCTCATACCGCACGCGCCGCCGCAGCCCGAGTACATGGCGCGGGTGTGTCTCGAGCTCGGGGTCCTCAACACGCCCCCGCGGGAAGCGCCCGCCCCCCTCCTCACGTGCTCCGTCGACTTCGAACCCTACAACGAGAAGCACTTCACCAAGGACAGCTGCGCCATGTGCGTCCAGTCCAACCCGGACGTCTCCAAAATCCCCTCCCCACCGATCAAGAGCTGTCTGAAGAAATCCAAACAGTTCACGTCGAGCACCTCTCTGCCGTCCATTGAAATCGTCAAGGACGACTCCAAGAGTAAATCCGACATCGAACAAGTGAACAGGGAGTGGAACAAAGCGTACGACTCGCCGGATACGGACAAAATGCTCAATAAAATAACGAGCGACTTAGACTTTCTGCTCAATAGGACTCAGGAGGCGAGTAAAAGTGTTGTGCGTGATCAAATTGAGGAGGCGCCTACCTAGGAGTGCGACAGTAGCATAGTTATGTGATAGAATTTAGATGAATAATCAAAACGAATAACATGGAAACAGGGGTGCAACATGCCAAAAAATTAGATATATAATGTATATAGATAGGTAAGATTTTTTATAAGTTATATCAAAATCTTGTATAACAATACTACATGTACATAATAACTTTTTCTGTGAAAACGTTATCAAAACAAGAATAATTAACTATGTGTGATAATTTATTTAAACATAAACAGTACAAAAAAAACAATTTCTATTATATTAATTTACATATTAGACTTACTTTGTTCCCAAAATCTCACAATGATCTGAAGATCTCTTTTCAATCTTTCTTCTTTTTTTATGTTATAAATATAACTTAACAAGTACTTGTAAAAAATATAAATCCACGTGCTAAAATAAAAGTACCTAATTGCCGATATTGTACTGGCCTACGACAAAAAAGAATATAAAATCAAAATAAATATATATATATATATATATATATATATATATATATATATATATATATATATATATATAGATTTGGAAAAAAGTAGTTCATAATTCAAATTTAAAAAAAATCGAGCCGATTTGAAAAATTCTAACAAAATATACCTATGTCATGATTATTGACCCGTTTTTGGCTCTCGATTCTCTATCTATACTACATATAAACAAAGCTTAAGCAATGGTGTCCATCAAATCACGACAACTACTTGTAGTAGACCAATATCAGCCATTATGTACTTGCTATATCTAAACATAATAACGGTTTACCCTTTTTTCACGCTACGCTCTCAACTTCTATTAACATAATTTAATATCAATGAAAATATTGCTTCATTAAAAGGGAAATTATAAACATTGACCAATATCACGGGAACAGTTGAACCTCTTTTTTATATAATTAATTATATTTATTTTTTATTTTTCCGTATGGTCCTAACATACCTCTTTCCTTCCCATGGATGTCGTAAGAAACGACTAAAGGAATTTAAAGGCAGCAGCGTCCCTCTTTAAACATCTCTAAAGCCTAACTATAGCTGCCAAACGTGACAACTACACGCAGAGCCCCTCGATAAAGGGAATCCTATGTTCAGCAGTGGACAGTTACCAGCTGATATGATGATATTTTTATTATTTTACATTATTACCGAGTAAAAATGTATAATATTTACTTTGCTTTTTTTTTGAAAATTTTTTGCTCCCATTATAATTGTTAATGGTGTTTTGTAATTACAATCTTATGTATACTTCAAGTGAAATTCACCATTGATTTTCACAAAACAAAAAATAAATAAATAATAAAAACTAAGTACTTGTAATTGAATTTGGTTTATTAAGAACAATATTTAGTTGCTTTATTTTCATCACATAAAATCTTGTACTTAACAAGATTTTGTTGCCATGTCTCTAAATATCACAATATTTACAACTAGTTAGTGAAATTCATAGGTATTTAAATAATGTTACGGCCGTTAGTGTAATGTTTGTAAATAAATCAATGTAAATATGTTTAAGATTATTCTAAACGAATTATATTTTACGTTAAATCGGGTACAATATATTTTTATTTACAAATACATTTTTTACTATTTAATTTTGAATTTTATTTTAAAAACCTCTTTAAACCCCTTGTATGGTTGATTTCGGAAATTTTCAACTAAATTCAAATATTGACGTTCAAACGAAAATTTCGAAAATAGTAGAAAGCACAAGTCACAAATTTTATGAATATGAAATCTATACGGTAAACTGCATTACTTATTAAAGGAGAAATACTTCTGAATGTCATTTTCTATTGGGTTTATTTGTGAGTTTTACTTAGTATAAATAATAATTTAACTGAATTCGTAATTCGTGAAGTCTTTCACTTCATCCAAAAACAAAACTTGTACTGGGAATAAGAGATGTTGATATAGATATAAAAAAGTCTATTTTCTAAATGTTGCACATAATACAGGTAAATATGAAAATTATATGAATGAAATGGTAGAACAGATTCCAATGAAATTTTATATACACATGAAAAAAAATTAATTTCCCTAATTCACGCGAGCAAGACTGTGGATTACAGCTAGTTCTAATATTATAAATGTGAAAATGAATTCATTTATTATACCTTACCTTATAACAACTTATAGCTTAACCACTCTCTATAAAATTTTATATACACGTACTATAAGTATTGGAGAAGGAAATAGACTTTTTATCTCGGTCAATAAACATAACCCAGTCAGAGTCATAGGTAAAAACTAGTATAAAATAAAACTCAAATGCAACATGTAATAAAATATTGTTTATTAAAGCTCAACTAGCATAAATGAATGGGGATGACATATAAAAATACAAGCAAACACTAACTGGCAAACTAAAGTACAATTTCGTTTGTCTACCATATAAATTGTTCAATATAATAGCTAAGTATTATAATTGTAATTATATACAGGAATTAATTTACAACTTACTATAAAACAATAGTAATTGTGCCCACGAACGTTTCATTATCATAGAGAAATTCCTCCCGCTTGTAGACAAAAGCTTGTTGAGTGAGAATAGTTTACAATGTTTACAAACAATCTGTGAAAGCTAATTCATATAATAAAATATAACAACAATAGCACCAAAACATATTTAAAAAAAAATATTTATTATATATGCTGTATTTAAAAGGTATGTAACTTGGCTGTGAAGGTACATTTGTTTTAAAAAAAAATTCTTATGCCGACTGATGATAGGCTTAGATTATATAGATAGGGCATAGTGTCAAAAACGTGCAAAATATTTAGTCAGTTAATTTGATATTTGGCTCAATCTGACATATATTTCACTCAATTTGATATATATTTATATTAAAACAAATAACAAAATGCACCATTATTTCACTGTTGCAAGTAATTGGATTTAAAATTTAACAAAACAAGCGTTATTTTTAATTAGAATTGGGAACTATTTTTCTGATACAATACAAATATAAAAACATGCTTATTGTTTACAATTTAATTACATATATTAACTTGGCAGCTATTTTCAATTATCGAAAAACTAAAATATTTTATGCCTATATTCAAATATAAATCAAATATTAAATCAAAATATAATTTATTTTGTATCGTTTTTATGTTTCGTATTAACTATACAACATTAATTCTTCAATGTATTGAGTAATAAAAGTATATTATGGTTGTTCTATTATCAAAGACATATGGATAAAAAAGTGACACATTTTTGAATATGCCTTTTTTTGCAGACACTCTATCTATATAATCTTAGTGACTAACATAGTCTGTGATTCATTCATTTTTTTTTTCAATTTCATAGCAAAACATTACCGTCACATTCGTATTCCCATAAGGGAACTAATTTAAAAAAGTTAACTTCAACGTTAGACCAGTAACAATTAATACTGAAATATGTAAAAACGTTTAATTAGGTTCGTATTTTAACAGGGACAGAGCTAGCTAGTCTTGGGCTCTAACGGAAATGAAAAATAAATAATTTCTTGGCCTAATAAAAATTTTTGTATTATAGGTATAATTATACTTTTTATATTTTATATAAAAATATAATAAATAAAGAAAACAATACGATAGTAACAGGAACATAATATTCGATTTCATTTTAAAAACAGCGATTTTAAATCAATCTTATAAAATTACTGCACTATATAAAAAATATACATTGAAAAATGTAACTTACGCTTCGTTGAGACACAATTTATTTTAAATAAATACATTGATAGCTGCAACACATATAGTATGATAGTAACATGAACGATCACAAGGCACTGATATTTAACACACACAACGGCACGCTCGCAACATAGTGTATAGTATATGTTTTTGGACAATTATATCTACGTATAAGACTTTAATATTAATTCCCTATCATACATTTTTATAGCCACGTTTCTTTGAATATTCTGACATATTTATTTATGTAGTCTATAATAAAGTTTACGTACTTTAGAAACGGTAATATCAATAGCAATATTGGTAAATAAACAAACCTTTGCGAGGTTATGGGCGCAGACAAAATCGTAGCCCATAATCTCGACTCAAGAGTGGTAGTATATAACAAAATTTGGCAGCTGTTGTCCTACTGGTGTATATATATATATATATATATATATATATATATATATAGACATTTAGAAGGGAATTACAAAGAAATAGATGATGGAAAAATTCTAAGTGAATAAAATATATAATGCCAATAAACATATATTTATATATATGTATACATATATACAAACATCCATTTTTATATATACTTACAGAGTTAATAGTAATAATGTAAAATTAAAAACAGATACATTTCCCGATCCAGAAACAAGATATTGTATTCGGATAAGAAAATAAAGGTACAATACAAAAGTACACTTTTATAAATCTGTTAACATAATTCTGTTTATAAGAATTTGAACACTGTAGAGATGGAAATAGGACATAATTTCCAGGATGCAGATACATGAACAGTTATAGAAGAGTAGATCTAATAAAATAACCTCATAACAAGTCACAATACAGAGCTTTAAAGGATAAAATATATTTAAAATATTATTTAGTTTACACTGATTATTGACATGATAAAAAATTTACAACATCAAAAAGTTTAATCGATTATAATTAATGCATCAAATCTTCTTAGAATAATTTTCAAATAATAATATGCAATTTTTAAGAAGTGTACTATAATATAGTTTATGTAATTTCTAAGACATAAATTATAATAAATGCATACATACCCACATTTGTTAAGTATTCGTGATATAAAATAAAACATGCATTAAAATAATTAATCACAACGAATGAATAAAATTAACTAATATTTTATTTGTCGAAATGAAACTGAGACATATTAACACATAACATACAGATTAAAATCCAAGTAATTAACATCCTGATAACAACATGTCCTATAAGTAAAGCTGAATTCCTAAAGAAATGTTGATGTAAAAACCGTCAAAAAATTTTAAACTCTGACGTTAACCGAATGAAAAATATCAGAATCACTTGTAGAACACACCGTTAAAAGGATGCTACCGATTTCGATTTCACCACGTATATTGCCTTCAACGAGTTAAGGCCCAGTTAACATTGCCTCGTGTTAAATCTGTAAAATGGACTATTAATGATTACATATTTTATTTATATTTACATCTTACTTTTCCTTTATCCAATTTATTTGGGATCAGGCGCAGTAAGTCTTCTTCCGACAATGCGTTAATCCGAAAAACATTGATTTTTCTTTCTATTTTCTTTTCTTTTTCTGCATCAATAAAAATAGGAACAGGGATCCGACAAAAAAGTACATAGTTTAGGTAAGTTTTAAGAAGTTAAATCAACTCTATGACTTGATTAGTATTCTTACGACTAACTTTCGATATCTATTCAAATGGATATCTCGAACAGTGTTACATGTGTGAGAGCTATCAGCTATTAGTATACAAAATATTTAATATACAAATAAACTGTATACATATAATACACATAAATTGTAAATGGACAATATAAATACATGTGTACAAATAGGTAATATTGTTACAACATAAGGAGACTAGATGCGATATGATATAAAAAATTGGTGCATGAAACAATTCAACGATGTTTATTATACTTAAATTTAATAAACGATTATTATTAATTAGAATAAATGTATGTTATACGCAGAAATTAAGAGGGCATCCTTGCTAAGAATCACAACGTCGCTCTCTCCTGTCATAGTTTGTCATTTTTAATTATTACGTACATAAGACACGATTGCACCATCTAGTCGAGTTATGCCAAAAATGTGTGCTTCGTGCAAAACTATAAGATATGATGTATGCAATATGTTGCTTTGAAGTACTTACGACTAGATAATAACATAGTCCTATGCAAAGTATTGACATAGAGATTACAACAAATCGATACTTGGTAAGGACAGCCTCTTGAGACTTCTTTACTGAGACCCGTATGGAATGCACGTTCCACTATCATTCCCCACACTATTTGAAGCTCAAACAATCAATAACTCTATAGTTTAGAGATAAACGTTAAGACTGAAAGCGTTTGAAAAGTGCACAAACAGTTTATAAAAGTAAGCAAAAAATATTGCTGACAATAGTTTTGTTATTATATGAAAAAGCTTTTTAAGCGTTTTATTCAAAATAATGAATTAAACAAAACAATAGTCATTGTTTTAAGTAAAAAATAAAAATAAACAAAAATTATTACTAACAACAGTTACGTTATTATTTTATGTGAAAAAACTTTTTAAGCACTCTATTATAAATGATATTATAATTTATAAAAATTATACAATTATACCATTAAAAAATAATCATTGGCTATAATAGTTCACAAGTGAATAAGTTTTAATATGCTTCTCCATCTCTACCACAGACAGCAAATTAACAAAACACGTGCACACTCATCTCTTATAACAATTATTTTTATTGTTTTCTTCTCTTTTCACACTCAGTACTTTTACATCACCTGACCAAAGTCTCAAGTTAATTTCTGCGTGTAGTATTTATTTTTTTATTGATTTCATAACTGCATTTATTACTATTGTCCCACGAGTCTTTTTATACAAATATTTAAAGTGATTAAATATGAAATGGGTCTGTAAACAGATATACGAAAATATCACAAGTGCAATTGTAAAAATATGGTATAGTAAAAAAAATTACCCTAAAATCCAGCAACAGAAAATGAATGTCAACTGGCTATATAATCTATTCGATTTTTTTTTAATTAATGCACAAATAGGATTGTCTACATTGGAGCTATTCTCTATCTGATTTTATTATATGTATATTTTATATAGTCATATAATTAAATGTTGAATAGTATAGTTCAACATTTCTAATCACTAATTCATAAATATTATGATTTTTTACAATTTAAAAATATATTATTTTTCTGATCTCTATTTTTTTTAATAAGTAAAACAACAATAGCAAACGTCGCAATAAACAATCGTACGAACATCTAGGTTATCAAGCACTAGCTGATAACTTCATATATCTGACAGGCCTTAATTTTCGCCTGAGACCCCAATTTTATTAGTAGAAGGTCGTTTTAATCCGCTATTGTAAAAGCGACGCGAGTATAAACAATTTAGCACATTTACTATCTAATATCACCATGTGGCCTCATATATACACCATGTACTTGAATATATCAGTTCTTTGCCTCGGCGTCGGTGTTGGGACGCGAGCGATACTCCGGGCGCTGTGACCTCAGCACAGGGCGGGACCATCGCGCTCATTGGAACCGCGCATATCTGGAATATAGATGGATAATTTTTATTGTTCCCTCCGAAACATACATACATAAACAATACAGTAGTAAAATTATCAAAACTTCTAATTTTTTTTTTTATTATACATTATTTTTACTGCATATTAACAATAGAGGTACTTTGTTATTTTTTTTTATTAAATATAACTTCAAAGTTCGCTATACCGAACATTAGGTAAACGCGCTATCTTATCTTGGGCGTTAGGGCCCCCAAGATATAGGACCGATCCAGTTTGATTGACGGTAATGTAGACTTTTTAATGTAACAATAATCTAAAATACTGTTATTTCTTTTGGTAGTAAATTTATTTCTTTCATTATTTACAAAAATATACTAAGAAAACAATAGACGACCTTATCACAAAAAGCAATCCCTTCCAACCTTTGTATGGAGAGCAGAAAAAGAAGTTGTGAAGTTTACAACTTCGAAAGTCTTTTTGTCCGGACATTTCCGTGCTTAGCTTCACAATTGAACAATTGTACGTAAGAGTGTAGTTAGTCTAGTTAATCCAGACAGACCAAGAAGGCCAGACAGGGCCTGATCTAGGGGAGCACTGGACAAATGCCCAATACGGCAAAATACGAGATAACTTATTCATTTATACACGGAGTTACCTCAGGATCCGCACCTGTTTATCAACTCTGTTGTACCACTTTCAGTATATTTTAAAACGTCTTACAGTATCATATATTAAAAAAAAACACGACGACCAATCGACTTTTTATATTCCCTATTAAATTGTATGGACTGCCCCGACTAATCCAACATACCAGGGGCCTACCATAAAATGAAATTCCGAATTTTCGGGCTCAATTTCGTGTTTTTGTTTGTACCTAAATCGACCCAGTAAATGGAGCTTAACATTTCATTCATCATAAATCCTATCCTAATAGTCCAGAGGAACGATATTTTAATATTTTTTATAATTTTAAACGGCATGTATTATGTAATTTTAACATCAAATTTCTAATTCGTTCGTTCCCGAAATTTCGGAAAATATTTCATGGTAGGCCCTCGGTATATAAGTATATATACGTATGAATAAATTTATTTCGTTATAACTAATTTCATTACTTATTCATTAAAATGGTAAACTACTTATAATATTCCGTGCATTTTAAAAGTATTTAGAATAGATTTTTAAGTTATAGTATTTAGGAATAAGACAGAAAAGTTTCAATGAAGTTCATTTATGAATCCAATCCGTATCTATTATAGCCGCATATTATAAACGTAACATCTCATACCATCTGAGTAAACAGTATGGTATTTGAGGCGGAAATGACGTCAAAAGTCGAGGTAGGTATTATAAAAATAATGAAATCACTATGCAGATGAGAAATTCCAAAATATGATCTAAAATACCGTAATTTTGCTATAATTATAAAGAATCTTTTCAACAAACCTGACGTAAGATAGCACACTGGCTTCGACATCAAATGAATATCGTTCATACCACATAATCATTATATTACTATATTTTATTGCCACGTGGTCCTGGTATAGAATGGGCCACCTCTTGCTTTCCCATGGATGTCGAAAAAAGCGACTATGGGAACTTAATTGTCGATAAATGGACAGCATCCCTATTAAAACATCACCAAAGTCTAACTGCAGTTGCCAACCCGCCTACCAAGCGTGATAATTACTGGCAAAACACCCCTTATGGGAGAAATTTATGTTGAGAAGTGGACAGTTAGCGGGTAATGATAATTTATTGTATGCATTATATGTAAATCCATACAAATATAACGCAACACAATGGCGATTCTTTACAAATGATCTAAAATGAAGATCATACTAATCTATGACACTGATGGTATAACATTTCAGAGAAATATTTTATACATATACTTAAATGTCCCGTAAGTTGCTCCTTAACATGAAACATGTATGTAGTGAGGAGTAGGGGAGCAAGCCGAAAAATGTCCAGAAAAGAAAAAATTGGGGGGCAACAATTTCGAGGGCAACTTTCCAGAAAACAGGCTCTTTTCTCCCCGGCGGGGCAAAATTGATAAACTAATCACTGAGCACACATCTCTTAAGTTTTAGGCTGACGTTAAATTGATAAAATAATGAACGATATTAAGATACCGAGTTATGACTAATAGTAAACCATTAACAGCTGACATATTATTAAGTAACAATGAATGTTTCTATCGTATATAGTCGAGCGCATTCGTCGATGCGGTGACGCACGATGCTTAAAAGACGATGTCACAACTGTATACATTAAGGATCTATCTCATACAACTACTGTGTGCACGTGGACGTAATCTAACATAAAGGCCTCGATCTATGAAACTGACAAAACAAGACAATGATAATAATGGTATGGTGATGAGGGATGTTAGGTGAGGATGATGTCAGGTCAGAGGTCTATCGAATTAACTAAGTTGATTTCCAACCACGTGGAGGTCAAGCTAACAGTTCGTTTGCATGAATACCTCTGTCTGTTTCAACCGTAAAGCAGTTGTGTTTGCATGGCTGTTTCGGTTTGAAGGGTGGGATATGGCGTGAATTTACAAGGCACAGAGGAATAACACCTGAGTCCTCAGGAATAGCAACGCATGGGGGGTTTTATGGGCGAAACAGTATACTGTTATGTCCATGGTACTGCTCATGTCTATGAGCGACGGTTTCCGCTTTCCATCAGGTGGGCCGTCAGCTTGTTTGCCATTCTAAGTTGTATAAAAAAAACTGCTTACCCACCATGCAGTCCCCCCTGGAAACTATCGTGATTAATTTCTACTAAATTTAATTACCCTGATATTGTACAATGTAGTACACCATCAGCATAGACGGGTATACCATTCCATGTTCACAAAAAAGCAAAAAAAAAGTTAAAGGTTCAGCCTCACCTGCGCTGCCTCGGCCGCTACAATTGAAACAAATCGTCGTGTGCTCTCTCGAGGCGCTTGAGCGAGGTGTCGACACGGCGGCCCTGGGTGAGCACCGACGACGGTGGCGGCAGGGGCGGCGGGATCACCTCGTTGTACGACGTGGACGCGCCTAGCGACGCCGACTGGCGGAGTCTCGCGGTTGGACGATGCCTCACAAATTCACTATCGAGGTCTTTCACGAATCTATAAAACGAAAAGGATTTTTTATGTAATTTGGAATTAGAGATAAGCTGACTGCCTACGTGCGCTCCAGGCATAGAATGGGCCACCCCTTCCTTTTCCATTAGTGTCGTAAGAGATGATTAAAGGAACTTAATAGTCGAGAGATAAATGCAGCATTCTTCTTAAAACATCACCAAAGCCTAACTGCGGTTAAAGTTGAAGTTAAGGTTTAAGTTAACTGCCTTCTTTGGGGTAGGTAGATTTGAGATTTTTTTATTATAATTATTTATTTATTTAAACTTTATTGACCAATAAAATAGGGTACAAAAGGAAGACTTATGGCTATAAGCATTCTCTACCAATCAACCTTTAGGATGTGCAGAGATACTCGATGGCGGTCTAAAAAAATACTATTATATATATTTTAGTATAATATGGTAAATTACATACAATCATAAAATAAACATAGATATTAATATACTATTTATATATTAACACCAACACATTAAAATATATAAACACATACATGTATACATACATATGATGAACTACTGCCTACTCGATTACTTGTTTTCATTTAGAAATTTTTTTTACTTTTGGTTCAATTGAAAGATAAACATTCAAATATCTTCATAACTTTAATGAGAAGTGAGATAGTGATTGATGTATTAATAAGTTACAATCGTTAATTACGTGGATATGTAGGTGTATCCACAAGTATATACTTGCTTATTATTATTACACGGGAAATTAACACATGTTCTAATCATTATCATCTATTATTTCTGTGATGTTTACTAAAATTCCCACTTATATGAGCAGATAAGAAAATAAATCAACCAATAATGTTCTAAAGCCGGGTTCAGGGCCCGATTAAGGGGACGCCAGCCAGGCAAATGCACTGAGCGACAAAATAAATTCACTGCAGGTTATCACAGTCGTGTATTATATAAGGCGACACATATACATTGCAAAATAGCTAAAAGTTAGATTGAGTTTCATTTTACCAAATATAATGAATATTGAAATAATGAAATTGGCAGGCTAAGAATCCGGTAACGAACCTTAAATAAAAAAAAGGTTCTTAGTAGAATGAGATAAAGAAAGAGAGAAAGTAAAAAATAACAATGAAATTAAATCATACCATGAACCTAATATGGGTATTGCCACAGCTTATTACAATGTAGGCCATTTATCAAGTGTCTTATTACATATTTCCCTAACAATTGATAAGTACTATGAGATCTCTATATTATTCCAAATTTCTAGATATTTGTTTCATCATAATCTTTTATTACTAGGAATATACGTATGAATGGATCTTTATAGAAATATTATTTACTGACTTAATTAAAATTGAGATAAGCCATTATTAAGCCTGTAAAAAACACATTTATCTGTTTACATCTAAAAATAACGAAGCACATCAAACCAAAAATAAATGGCGGTACCTACGTAGTACGATTCATACGAAACTCAACCACCTGGACACCAACAAAGGAGGACAAGGATAGTCAGCAATGAGGTCTAATAGCACCATTGCTATACCCTACCCAGGGATATACCCTATCAGATAGACCTCACACTCCAGGAGGAACCCCTGGAAACTATTGCGATTGATTCAGGTCGAATTCGTCATGATGGATCACCTGATCTACATTCATTCTCACATATATATCACCACTCACTGATGCCTGGCCAATATATACCGATAAAGCAGATGAGGTTACCATTCCATTTTCACCCGTTAAAAACATTAACACATTCACCGTGTCCTGTACAAACACTAATTATAACATAGACACCTAATAATATACGCTCCTTTATAAAAGGATATACAGGACATAAATCGGCCCACATAAAGGAATATTTTTAGCAGGATCTCATACTGAGAGCGTACCAATTGACTATTCACGACGACCGCCACACATTCTCATTACAATTAAAGCTTTACAACAACGACATAAAGTAGCATTTCGAGTAAGAAAATATTGAAAAACAATTGCGCCAACGTCGAGACGTAGTGAAAACAAAATGAGCCTAATAACACGTTATGAAAATACTTTCTGAATATCAATTGTGTATTTTTCCAAAGAGAATCTCATAAATTTGTTAGCCAAGGTCAAAACTGTGCATAAATTAGTTTTTGTAAAGAGGCTATAACAATACAATTTCAACTTTCAATTTCCTTAATAAATGAGTTATCATTGACCATACAAATACATATTATTAAATATGTATTACTAGCAAACTGCCACAGCTTCGTAAAAATTGTACAATCAAATAATTCCTAAAAAAATACCTAAATAACAGAGTAACCTATAACAAAATCCATTGCATGATTTAGAAAAAGTAAGCTGAAAAGTAAACAGAAGCGAACAACAATCATTATTTATATTAAGATGAGAGTAGATATTTCCAGAAAAACAGTACATGCCAAGAACGAGATTTTAATTAGTTCTCACTCAATATTTACGTGTGTGTTAACGACCTAAATTTCTAGACTAAGGTTCCAAGGGTCAAAGTCACTATTAATCGATATACTGTCGACTTCAGAACTTAGACAATCTAACGACCGCAAGCATTCTAGATATAATGTTTGTAAACTTCATATTTTATGGCGTAAAGCGACAGACTTATTATTACATTCTTTTAGGTAACGAAACTTAGTTGCCTGTATTTCTACAAAAGTTTTAGAATTTCATAACAAAAGAATACAAAGAAACTCTTATTGTAAAACTTCGTAAAAATATAAAACGTACAAAAAACGTTTGCACAAGAATCTCTTAACTGTCTACTGATTTTTTTTAAAAACACTTTTAATATTTTTTTTAAATCCAAAAAAGACTATTTTATGAGTAGAAATAAAATATTTGATGATTCCAGTATGAATCCAACTCGAAATTGTCCTGTTTAGTATTTTTTATACAACTTGGATTAACCAAAACTCATGCTTGTCTTTATCCTGCTTCCTAATGCCATTTGCGTAAAAAAAATTACACCAATGTCGAAATACCAAAACTGTAATGACAACGAAATTCGGTCAGTGGCTTCTATGTGATTGATAACAATATTATGTTGATGTAAACGGGGTCAGTGACCTCGATACGCTTCTGTACTGGCTATTAAGCGTCACATGATATCTAATTTGGTAGCATAAATAAAAGTTGAGAAAGACTTTCTATTTCTTTCTCGATGGTAATAAAAAATCAAGGCAATTTTTTTGTGATCCTTTTAATTAAAAATCGACGAGGTTTCACTTAACATACACAAATCGTTAGATTTTTGTACATATTTTTTCATACAAAAGTCTAGTTGGCTTGCACTCTGAGTTTTCGACTCTTAAATTCTAACAATAAAGCGGAATAAAGAAAACCATTAGAGTATGGTATCTTCCAAACGATTTCACTTGGAACGATATTTACAAACATAGGAATTTCCCCAAGTCCTTAAACTAAAATACTAAGTTTCTTATCACACAAGACTGTAATAAAACATAGCAAGGGGGAAAGGGATTATTAATAATGAAATCTAACAAGCCCACTAGCAATATACAAATGCAAATACAAATCGACCTGCACGCAATGCCCTCTGGAAATCTCCGTGATTAATTTTTAATGAATTCATGGCGGTAGACCAATTGAGGTTATCATTCCATTTTTATCCTTTAAAAAACATCACATAACAATAGAAACACGAAACTCGTCTTCACTACACCGCGAAATTAATCAGTACAAATCATATTATCACACAGATGAGATAAAAATTATATAATTTCAAATATCATTATTTGTTCTTCTAAATAAATTGTTAACATTTATGGAAAAGTACAATCAATGTCTGCGAATTTAGTACAGATGTATCATATAGATAAAACGAAACGATAGCGTACTGTACCAGCTTACACGGCACGACGGAGGCGCCGTGGGCTTAGCTAAGGATTTGTTTACATCTACAGACATTGACGGTCTTACTACAAAAATAATTTAAAACATTACTTATCTAATCAGTGTTTAACAATACTCTAAGTGATTTAACATTGTTTAGTCGATGTAATAATGTTTACTTGTAATTTTGTGCGCCAAATCTATAGATTCGTAGCTTTTACTGGCGAATGTATCCGCGTGACCGGAAAATGTTTATTGACCGTGATAAAAAGCGGCCTATGTCCTTATCTATACTATATAGTACGTGTATATCAAATTTCATGACATTTGAATAAGGTACGATGAGATTACAAAAAGCTTACTTTCACGTTTACAACATTAGTAAAAATTTTAATAAATACATTTTATTTTTAATAAGATAGACTTTATTTAGACCAAAAAGAAGTTCGAAATCACTTTGTAGTAAGATCTCTAAAAATGTATTTCACACCTGTCTATCATCAATTTAATATTTTTGTGATAACACTTTGAGCGATATACAACAAAGTTTTTGCATTGCGATCATCACAAAATTAATATGACATCAATACGAAAGGTACCATTTCAGATTCCAAAATTAATTCTTAAAATCAATTCAAAATTGGCTACGTAATCGCGTAATATATCTATAAAAAATACTAAATACTAATTAAGGAAACCGCTAAAAAAATTAATACACAGTGTATTAATTAATATAAATATAATATTTAAGTAAAATGCCCGCGATTGGTATCTACCAATAGATAACTATGCCTACCGGTGATCGTAATGGCGCGTCTAATCCGCACCGAGTTTGTAGATATAAACGAACCTTTACCATCACGTGAATATCGTGAAAGTATTATAACAAACATAACCTTGAAGAAAACCACAATCGCAAGACGTGCAAAAACTCAATACAGACTGTTGGTGGAATAGATTAGAATGCCAGAACGTGACAGCTTATAACTGATGGTAAGACTTTTTGTAACTCGCCTGAATAGGTATCATAGTATTGGGTATTTAAATTATGAAGCAAATTTATACTATATTGGCCGTGTGATACCGGCATAGAGTAGGCGACCCCTTCCTTTTCCATGGGTATTGTAAGAGGTG